ATCCTCAAGCTCCCGCGGCTCTTCCGCGCCAGCGATTCTTCAGCGCGGCGCCTCAGTTTGACGTCATCGCCAGAGCGACGCCGTGGCGGAGTCATCGCTATGGCGACGACGTGACGGAGCCTGTCACTATAGCGATGCCTCGACTTCACGCTCGAGACCATGCCTCCTTTCTTTCAGCCCCGCCCCCATTTTTGACTACCAGGAGAAATGTTAACAGTTTTGTGCCTATAAATCCCTTTTCCCCATTATTTTATTTCTTTGGGGCATAGGCTTAGCTGGATAATAGCTGGTATGTTTAGTTTGGTCATTCTCTAGGCATCGTTCCAAATTGCTTTCCATAAGGGTTGGACCCGTTCACAACTCCACCCGTGGGCCATTAGTGCACTAATTTTCCCACATTTGTCATTTTCCTCTTTGGTCATATTTGCCTTCCCAACAGTCTGAGCCAAGCAGATTCTTCAGAACAGCCCCCGATGACAGAAACCCAACATCAATGAGGTGCCAAGGAATGATTCTCCTTGTGGTACTCTCCTAATTTTTTTGTGGGGGGGGGGGAAGGGAGACAGGCTTGGTTATTATAATTTCTCAATATTCAGTTCAATACTGTTGTTATTCTTTTCATTTATACTGCTGAAGTCATTGTGTATATTGTTTTCCTTGTTCAGTCTACTTCATGTTTTATCCATACATTGTCTTTCCATGCTTCTTAGTATTCTTAGTTGATGTTTCTTATTGTACAGAATATTCCATTACATAGACCGCAATTTGTTTAGCCATTCCCCAACTGATGCAGTTTCCAGTTCTTTGCTACTATAAAAAAGTGATGCTATAAATAGGTTGCTATATAGAGATCCTTTCTTTGTATCACTGACCTCCTTCAGGTATATGCCAAGCAGGGAGGTCGCTGGGTCAAATGGTATAAGCATCTTAGTCACTTTGTTAGCATAATTCCAAATTGTTTTCCAGAATGGTTAGACTAATTAACAGCTCCATTAATAGGGCATTAGTATGCCTGTACTTCAAAGATTCACTGCTCTGTAAACTCATCAAATAAACAAATGTGGGAGGGAATGATGTAGCTTTTTGGCTGAAAGCTCTTTCTTTATAAAAATCTGTAAAAAAAAGTCTTCCTCACAAAAAAATCTTTGTAAAAATCTTCTCCCCAAAAAGCCATGGCTTGTAACAAAGGATAAGAAAGGGGAAAAAAATCAGTTCATCAAAATCAACCAACACATCAACTGAGTGAAGGCATATATCATAAAAGTCAAACTGGATAAATCTAAGTACACATCAAACCTCTAGTCAGATAGAAATTCTGCTACCCACAAAAGGGGCATCAGGAAAAAAAAAAACTGCAAGCATCTAAGAAAAAAAGCAGTTCAAGTATTAAGAAACCACAGACAGGATCCCAGAAGACTTGACAGCTACTACCATGGATAAGAGGAGATCTAGGAATACAATATTCCAAAAGGCAAAAGAAATAGGCATGCAAACAAGAATAACTCACATTGTAAAGCTAAGTATAATCCTATAGGGAAAAGGGGAACCTTTAAGCAGTCGAAGACATTAAGGCACTTTTGATGAAAAGAGTACAAACCACATGGTGGCACTATGAATCTGAATAGGACTCTGGAGAAAGAGCTCTGTGAAAGAGCTAGGGATTTATCATAATGTCGGGCATGCCCTCTTGGCAACTCCAACCCTTTTAAGGGTCTACACCATAGGGTGCTGATGAGTCAGAAAGACTTGGAGAAAAGTAGAATCCAACATAAAAGAAGACTTATAATGATTTAAACCAAATGCAAATTTATCTTTAATGGTCACTTTTGAGATTAAATGTGGCCCATTTGAGCCCTTGTTGCCCATTTGAAGTTTGTTTCAAACCTGAAATTTCAATGATATTTCATCAACAAATCAATAACTTACTTTTCAGCTGAGGAAAAAAATTAAAGATAGACCAATGTATCTATCCTTCAATCAATTATTAATAAGCACTAAGTACCTACAATATGCCACATTCTTTAGTAGACACAGGATACCAAGACAAAAAATGAAAGAAGTTCCAACTTCAAAGAGCTTATCTACTACTTGGGGTGAAATAAAACATATGTAGATAAATTCAAAATACATAAAAATCAAATACAAAATAATTTGGAGACACGGAGAGAGCATTAACAACTAGGAGGGCCCTTCGATGGAGGAGGCATATAAGCAGAGCCTTGAACGGATTCCAAGAGGTAGAGGGGAGGCATGGGAGTTAGTTAGTTAGACACAGAGTTAGGAGGTGGGAGGTGGGAGGTGGGAGGTGGGAGTGGAATGTGTATGAGGAGCAAACAAGTAAACCAGTTTGACTAGAATTGCAGAGTATATCAGTCTAAAAAGAGGCTGGAGTAAGATTCTTAACAAATAGCTTTCTTCACCTAGATTCTTCTCTGTAATCCACTCTGCAAAATAATATATCAGATGATCAAAATTTGAAGCAGGTAGTTTTTTTTAATTAAATTTTATTTTCATAATCTTACTCCCACCTTCCAATGAGAAAGCAAGAAAAACAAAACCCCAATTTACACATATAGTCAAGCAAAACATTCTTGCATTGGCCATGTCCAATATATATACATCCACATGCATACACACACACACACACACACACACACACACTCACACACACAAATCTTAATCTTTACTCTGAATCCATCACCTCTCTATCAGGGTGTAGACAGCATATTTCATGATGAGTCCTCTGGACTTGTCATTGTGTTGATCAGAGTTCTTAAGTCTTTCAAAATTCTTTCGTCACTTCACTTTACATTAGTTAGTTCATACAAGTCTTCCAAGGTTTCCCTTCTTCCAAGGGCATCACCTCAGTTTCCAGTTCTCTGAACCACAAAAAGAATTGCTATAGACCTTTTTGTACATATTGGTCCTTTTCCTCTTTCTTTGTTCTCTTAGGGATATATATATAACCCTAGTAATATTATTGCTGGCACACTTTATGAGCCATAGTTCCAAATTCCTTTCTAGAAGGTCTGCAGCTGATCACATCTCCACCAACAGTGAATTAATGTATCTATTATAACACAGAGCACTCTATGCCCCACTGCCTGAAAATCATATTTGTAACATTTCACTCCTCCCCCAGCGTTCTCTGGTACCCTTAAGAGGGTTCGAGTATCTAAGCTCTCTGCAAATGGTTCCAGCCTTCACCAATGGTGTGCCCTAAAAAAGGGGGTAGTACCCTGCACCCCAATTCCATTAGCCACTAATAATCTAATTAACCTTTACCCAGAAATATTCACTCCAGAAGGTATTATCACAACTATACAAACTTACACCCCCAACATATAGGAGGTATGATTCCCAATCCCCCTTGAACCACTTCACTATGGGGAAGATAAGGGAATTAGGTTCATAGTTTAGTTTGGTTCCTATAGGGCACAGTCCAATTCTGAGTCTAAAAACCCCTTGAAGCCCAAGTCCTAGGCACCCTGGTTTCTTCTGGGCTAGGCTTCCTTGCTAGGGTGGCTGGCTGCACTGTCCCACTTGGAATCCTAGCTTCAAAGTCAATCATGGCTCAAACTCCTGGATCTGGTGGAGATCACTGACGCCACCTAGAGACATTTCAGATCACAGCTCCTGCACTGTGAATAAATTTGTGATCTTTACCCTCTCAACAAAGCCTCCTCATAAGCAATATTTCTCCAGTCATTTAGAGTGTTCTGTAATTGCATTCATAGAGTTCCTAAGAGTGTCTTAGCAGGTGGAATCCAAAGTATTTTATACTATCTGTAGTTATTTTAAGTGGAATTTCTTTTTCTATCTCTTCCTGATGGGTTTTGTTAGTAATATACAGAAATGCTGATGATTTGTGTGTATTTATTTTATGTCTTGCAACTGTGCTGAAGTTTTTGTTTCAATTAGTTTTTTAGTTGATTGTCTAGGGATCTCTAATAATCTGAAAAAAAAGTGATAATTTTGTTTCCTCATTGCCTGTGCTTATTCTCTCAAATTTTTGAGAGAATTGGTCTTATTTTCCTAGCTTGCATTTCCAGTAGTATATTAAATAGCAATGGTGATAATGGACATCCTTGCTTTGCCACTGATCTTGTTGGAAAGATCCCTAGCATTAAAAATAATGCTGACTCTCAGTTTTAGATAAACTCTGCTTCTCAAAGGAAAAATCCACTTATTCCTGTGCTGTCTAGTGTTTTTTTGTTTAACAGAAATGGTATATCTTGTCGATAGCTTTTAACCAAATTAAAATCAAAATCTCTTAATCAAAGAATTTTGGTTGTTATTAATGTGATCAGTTATAGTTTTCCTAAAAATGAACAAGCTCTGCATTCCTGGCATAAATCCAGTATGGTCATAGTGTATAATATTTGTGATATATTTATTGCTGCAGTTTGCTTTTTAAGATTTTTTAAATTTTAGCATCAACAATCATTAGGGATATTGCTCCATACTTTTCTTTGTTTTAACTCTCCCTGGTTTATGTATCAAGACCATATTTGAATCATAGAAGGAATTTAGTAGGAGCGCATCTTTCCTGTTGTTTTTGTTTCTGTAGTATTAGAATGAACATTTCTTTAAACGCTTGATAGAATTTATAAAGTGGACTGTTTTTAAAGGGACTGCCCCAATAAGCTACTTTTTCTTCGAGTTAGAAGAGAACATCTTTTAAGCCAAAGTTTTCTCAGTGAAACCTTAGACTCAGAGCATTAACAAGCAACACTTCAATGTATAATTGTATTCTCTGAAGATATTTCTAATTTTCTCAATCAGTATTTCACCTCGATTTTGGTAAACTCGTTTTATGTAAACACAAGCTCTATAGGCGAGTGCCTCTATTTTCGAAGCCTGGGGTATGTCAGCAAAGTCTCTGGTTAGGGGGTGCAGGCAGCAAGAGCCCGGGTCCTCCTCAGGCGGGCCGGGCCGCTCCTCCCCGCCCAGCTCCCCCAGCAGGCTGGCTCCTCCCCGCGCCTTGGCCGCTGCCAGCTCCGTCTACCAAGATGGAGGGAGCGCCGCTGTCCGCCCCTCTCCGCCTGCTGCTGCTGCTGCCGTTACTCCCGGCTCCCGGGCAGCTGCTGGCTGGCACTGCGGGGCCGCCGCCAGCTGCTTCGTTCACCCAGGTAGCGAGCGGGCGCGGGCGGCCGGGGAGCCGTGCGCTGGGGCAGGGGTCCGGGCGCGGGCAGAGCGGGGGCATCCCCGGGGCCATCCTCCGGGCACATCGGGCGCTGACAGGCTCTACTGGGGCTACTGAGTGACAAGGAGACCGAGCCCGTGCTGGGGGAACAGGGGGGCGAGGCAGGAGAAAAAGAGGAGCGGAGTCAGGGGTTTCCGAGCAGCCCCTGCTTGGGGGCGGAGGAGGGAGGAGTGGGTAAGGGCAAGGGCGAGGGGTGAAGAGTTTAGGGAGCTAGAGCAAGCGAGGAAGGCAGAGAGAGGACGGGCAGAAAAGGGACTATTTCCGGTTGCTTAACTTTTACACTGTTAACCTGTTGCTCCCTGGAACCGCTTCACTTTACACTCCTGATGGGGTTTACTACCTTAGGGTGCAAAATAAATCTCCAGTCACTGTAATATTTCATAATGGCTCCTTCTGGGGACAGAGCTGGGGCTCTAGTTATTGGAGGATTGAGTGTTTATCAGGTTAGGAAATCTAGAAGTTGCCTTATTGGAGCATCCCTCCGCTTTTTAATCACCGGCAAGTGATTATCACTTCATTCCTGGCAAGGGAAAGACATACACATTATCATCTCAGAGGGTGTTGAGGTGCAGGATTCCACCCGTGTTGCAATGCCAGCTCAGGAAAAGGGGGGGGGGAAATGGGGAAAATCCCAAGGTAGGCTTTCCCTGACACGGTTTGCTTACTTCCTTTTGCTTTGCCAGAGTTTTAAAAAGTTAAGTTGTGACAGTTTAACCCCACTGCCTGGTGCCAGATAGGAATTAGGATGGCAGGGATGAGGAAGAAAGATTTCGAAATGGAAAACATCATCCTGATAGACTTTTTCAGAGTAGGTCCCAAGAGTTCAAGGTCAGCAGAATCTAAAGAAACAGGTGTGTCTGAAACTGGTAAACATAAATTTAGTAGTTGACGCGGTACAGAGTACCTGCCCTTAATCATTTCAACTTTTAATGTTTGCGATAAGACATTATTTACCAGTCTAGAGTAGGAAGAAAACAATAGAGACAGTCTGTTTCAGTTCTTCTGGGGCAGTCCAGGAAGTCACCACACAGAGTGATTAGAAACATTTGTGTCTACCGAAGTAATTTGAGAGAATTTCATTTTCCTGCTGGCTTTAAGTCCACAGTTCTTTGAGCTCTTGAGGTTTCATCATTTCTGGTTATTCCTCGATCTCCACACCTCCCAACCCCCCCCACCCCATTTTAGAAAAATTCAGATCTAGACTGGAAATTTCATTACTTGTTGCCCAGGCGGTGAATCAGACTGCTGGGATCTAAGTAATTTGTTTACTCTAGGATTTGTGACGCCACTATTAGTAAATCTTTTGGAATTGAAAAGGGGGGGAAAAAGCTATTGCATTTTTTAAGAGAACATAGTGTTGTTCACATATATTGGATTGTGGGTCTATAAACGCTGATTTTATTTATAGGAGAAGTTATCAGGGGGAGTGTTCTTTTTGTTTAGATGTGGCACTTAAAGGACTGTACCTTTAACCTTAAAATAATTGAGTCATCAGAAGGGAGGTAGTTGAAAGAAATCTGACTTCATTTTTGCATGTTCCTCATAATATATGTAATTCTAGTGCCATTTTTCCTTTGGAGAATTCTTCACCAAGTCTGAATTCATTGCATTGAGAAAATTGAAGAGGACATTGAAAATGAGTAGGGAAAAAGAATAGCATTTAAGCAATCGATGGTCTAGTCCAGGGGTAGGGAATCTGAGACCTGGAGGCCACAGGAAGCCTTCTAGGTCTTCAGGTGTGGCCCTTTGACTGAATCCAATCATCACAGAACAAACGTTCTTTTAAATGTTCAGTCAAAGGGCTGCACTTAAGGTCCTAGAGGGCCACATGTGGCCTCAAGGCTGCAGGTTTCCCACCCCTGGTCTAGTCCTATATTTTCATTTTATAAATGAGAAAAGTGAGTCCCAGCAGAATTAAATAGCTTAGTCAAAGCTATACAGATATGAAAGGGCAGAATCAGTATTCAATTTCACATCCTCAAACTCCACTTCCAGTGCTTTTCCCACCGTACCCATTGCCTATAGAACCGGGATCCATAGTAAATTGACTCCCTCTGAAGAGACCCTAAATGCTGGCTCTCACCAGATTTCTGACCACTCAGGCCTAAGGCTTTGATGAGACAGATCTGAGCAAATCATTTGGGAAGGGAAAAAGACAGGAACTGGGTAACTAAGAGATGGGAAACAACTCAGGGTGAAAACAGGTCCTAAAGAAGAATTTTGGAGATCACCAAGTAAGTCCCAAGGAGCTTACAATCTAATGGGGGAGACAACATGCAAACAAATATATACTAAGTAAACTATATACTGGAGAAAGAAATGGCAAACCACTCCACTTTGCCAAGAAAATCCCATGAACAGTGTGGTCCACAGGGTCATGAAGAGTTGGACACAAGTGAACCACTGAACAACAACTTTGAATTAAAAGGGTTTGGGAAAGACTTCTGTAGAAGGTGAGGTTTTAGTTGGGACTTAAACAAAGCCAAGGTCAGTAGTCAGAGTGGAGGAGGGAAAAGTGTTCTAGGCATGGGAGAGAGCCAGAGAAAATGGCAGGAGCTGAGAGATGGAGTGTCCTGTTGGTGAAACAACCAGGAGGCCAGTATCACTGGATTGAAGAGTTTGTGGTGTGGAGTAAGGTATAAGAAGACTGGAAAGGTAGGAAGGAGCTAGGTTATGAAGGGCTTTGAATGCCAGTCGGGCATTTTGTATTTTATCCTGGAGGTGATAGGGAACCACTGGAGTTCATTGAGTAGGGAGGGTGACATGATTAGGGAGATTGAAAATAAGTGAGTGTGGATGATAGAGGGAGCGGTGTGTTAGAGGAGAAGGCCTGGGATGGGATCTCTTGAAAGAGGGGTTTAATCCTTGGTAAAGAGTAAGGTTACTTCATCTTGTAAGAAGGGTGAAGGAGGAGAAACCAGCAATCAGAAATCTACTACTTAAGTAGTAGAAGATGAGGAAGAGAGAAGAGGGAGTTCCTATCGAATGGCCTTAATTTTTTTTTCTGTGAAATATGAGGCAAGATTCTCAGCTGAGAGAATTTGGGGAGGGGAAACCATGGGAGCCACTGTGGAGAATTGGAATAGTGAGTTGATAAGGGAGGGCAGGGACTGTTTTTTTACTCTTTTGGTATCTTCAGCACTTAGCACAGTGCCTGGCACATAGTAGGTGATTAATAAATATTTATTGACTAGTTGATTGAACCCAAGAGACAGAGTGGTATAGTAAACAGGAAGTCAGGAAATTTGGTTCCAGTCTGCTCTGCCACTAACTTGTGTGCCACTTTAATCTCTCTGGGCCTCAGTTTCCTTATGTGTAAAATCAGAACTTGGGATAGATGATCAGCTGGGTAAAAAGTTGGAAAGAGTTTTGGATTAGAACCTGGGTTTACATCTTAACTCTTCCACTTAACTAGTTATGTGACCTTAGACACTTTGTAAACCTTGAAGTACTGTATCAGTGCCAGCTATAAAAGCTGGCTATCTTTCTGAGCCTCAGTTTACTCAACTGTAAAATTAGGTGAATTAGAATAGATAACCTAAAAGATCCATTACATCTCTCAATTTATGACCTGTGTTTTCTCTAAAAGGTCTCTTCTGGCCCTAAAATGCTATGGTACTGGAGGTGAGCTTCTAATCCCTGGCTCATATTCCTGAACTTCCAGTTAACATTGGAAAATCATTGCATGTAAAACTTGATTTTAGCATAAACACAAAGCTAAAAGTTAAAAGCTATGAAGAAACTTTATTTTTTCATGGTTTTTATGTTTGTCTTTGTTTTCTTTTATAGCATGACTATTGTGTATATATATTTTGCATGACTTTACACGTATAACCTATATCAAATTGCTCACCTCAGGGAGAAGGGTAGAGAGGGAGGGAGAGAATTTAGAACTCAAAATTTTTAAAAAAAATGTTAATTGTTTTCCCATGTAATTGTGGAAAAAATAATAAAATACTATTTTTTTTAAAAAAGGAGATTCAAAGTATAGCTTGCCAGAGTTAGCTATATTGGGGAAAGTTACTAGTCCCCAAGGCAGGAAGGGGAAGGGATGACAATTTCTGGGTAGTACCTAGATCAGGGGTGGGGAACCTGCGGCCTCAAGGCCACGTGGCCCTCTAGCTCCTGTTCTTTAGGAAGAGCACTTTGTCAGCTGATGGCCAGGATGTGAGGAGATACAAATGTGGCAGGCAGACCAATAATCAGGCTTATTATAATAAAAGTCCGAATGTGAGATAGTTGAGGGCCTATACCAGGGTAGTGGCAGTGTCACAGTAGAGAAGGAGGTATATATGAGAGACGTTACCAAGGTAAAATTGACAGGCCTTTTGGCAACAGATTGGATATGGGGGTGGGCAATACAGAGATAGCTAGAATGCCACCTAGGTTTTGAGTCTGGGTGACTGGGAGGATGGTGGTATGCTGAACAATAAAAGGAAAATTAGGAAGGTAAGGTTTGGGGGTAAAGATAATAAATTCAGTTTTGGATGTGTTGCATTTAAGTTGAGTGCAGGTTATTCAATTTAAGATGTCCAAAAGGAAATTGGTACGGCAAGATTGGCGATTCCGGCTGAAGAGATCTGTCTGGTAATCATTTGCATAGAAATGACAGCTGAACCCAGGAGAGCTGATAAGATCACCAAGTGAGATAGTGTAGTTTAGAGGAACTATTGGGGGCTACCTGATATTAGTGGGCTGGATGAAGATCTAACAAAGGAGCCAGAGGAGCAGCCAGACAGGTTGGAGGAAGACCAGAAAAAAAGGTCGGAATATATATTAAAGAGGATTTAAAAGTGTATGAGAGGGGTGCAGTTGCAGGCACCCTATATAGACAGCTTTCTTAAGGAGATTAGTTGAGAAGGGGAAGATATAGGATGGCAGCTAGTGTGATGGTCAGATCTAGAGCGGGTTTTTAAAGGATAGAGGGTATAGGTGTGTTTGTAGGCAACTTTCAGATACAGAGTTTATAAACGCTTCCAAATACAGATCCAGGGTTTCCCACACCTGCAGAATCTCACAGATATTGGGGTGTTTAGATTTTTCCAAACTCTCTTTTACCTACTGCTATAGTAATATCATTATTACTTGCAGGACACTATCAAAATTAATGTAACTACCCTGGAAGATGATGGGGAGCTCCATGAGAAACAGGTTTGTCCTCTTTTCTATATTCTTTTAATGTAGTTTGCTATTTGTCTGAATTGAATATACTTGTTTCTTTGTCATTTAGTCTTTTGATCTCAACTCATACTTAGTTCTACTATTTTTTTAATATAACATTTTTGCCATCATCAATAAACTGTTGGAATTCATGCAAACTTTGTGCTTTATTTTAAGGTTTTTCTTAATATTATTTATGAGAATGGGCAGATATATGTAAATGACTTCTCCCTAAAGAGTGGAGTAACTCGAATAAGGGGTGAGACCTTCATAGGTGAGTACCACTGGATTATTTCCACAATGCTTCTGTTTTAATAATTCAGAAGAAAGAAATAAAGAACTCTTGGATTTATGTTTTTCAAATGCAGATTATTAGTATACATTATTATAGAAATAAATAATATCTATAGTTGTTTACAACTTTAGTTCTTCATCATCAGTGCTGGCTATACCTGGCATTGCACACTGTTTCTCTTGAAATACAGGTCTTGCATTTGAGGTTGGACCTTATGGAGCCACATCTAAGGTAGGTCAACATCACTTTAGTGATGGTACTGCTAGTGATGAAATAGCAATGTCCTCATATCAATTGAAAAAGCAGAAGGAATTCCATGTTTCTCAAGTCTTTAATATCTTCCATTCTTACCCATAGTACTTTTCTTTTTAACCTCTTTCATTTTCACACAACTAGTAGAAGTCTAAAATAGGATTTGAACTTGGGTCTCCCCAACCCTGAGTCCAGTCCTCTGGCCATCCTGCCACTGTAACACCTAACTGCCAAAGGCAATCACGTGCCCTATTCTGTCATAATACTACTCTTTTCTAATGTTCCTGTCTATCATAATTTCAGAAACAGTTTTTTTTAATGACACTGCTTAGTTAGGGAAACACCTTTAATTTACAGTAGAAGTCAGATTTATTGACTAGAGAGAAGTTAATTGTATTACAGCCTTAAAAATTACCACTTGCTTATACCCCAGTTTAAGCAAAATAGTATACCTTGTGAACTCCTTCAGGTATTGACTGTGGGGAAAAGTGCTTTCTACAAACTCCTTTGCCATTTCTGTATTAAAAGTAATAATAATGTACTTACCTGTGACACCATAAAATTACTTTGTATTATTTCATATATATATTTACATATTGGTTACATGTTACAGGGATTCTTAACCTGGGATCCATGTACTTGTTTTAAAAAATATTTTAATGTGGCAGGTATGTGGCACAGTGGATAGACTCAGTGGATAAAAAATATTTTGATGATTGTGTTTTAAAATAATTGATTTTATTTGTAATCCTCTGTATTTTATTTTATGCATTTAAAAACTTTATTTGGAGAAGGGATCAGTAGGCTTCACCAGACTGCCAAAGGGGGACCATGACACAAAAAAAGCTTCAGAACCCCTGAGGTAGTACACTGTAAGCTGCTTAAGAGTTTTTGCTCTATTTTCACAGTGTCTTACACACAGTAGGTATTTCACAGTTGTTGTTTTTTTAAACTTGAATCAAATGACTGACCTTTTATAGGATGGTGTACTAGATTTGCAAACCAGAGGACCTGAGTTCAAAATACTGACTCTTCTACTTACTACCTTTCTGACCTTGGGCAAGGTTATTTAGCCTCTGGACTTTATTTCAACATCTATAAAATGGGTTGGACCAGATGATCTCTGGTCCCTCTAGCTCTAAATTTGCAGTATGATTCTATGATGTATAAAGAAAATTCACACACCTATCTTCATTTCCTGAATGTAGGGCATCCCTGGGAAGACATCCATTTGGCAGTAAACTGAAACAGCAAAAAGCTTTTCTTGAAGTCTGGTTATAATTCTTTTGCAGTATCACACTTCTCTTAGGAGTTTGTTGTTTTCTTTATGGAGATTTTCTAAACCTAAAAATTTCAGTCCTTCACTCTCTTCTGGCTCTTTCCCATCCAGCTACCAACTTGTTCAGGTTTCCTCGGTTCTCTCTTTACCCTGTCACCTTTCCAAGCCACCATCTTTTCTCCCTGAGCCTTTACTCACTGCTTCTTACCATTCACTCATTCCTCAGTCATCTGATATCTGGTTTCTTTCCAGACCACACTGTATTGGAACTGATGTCTGCAAAGTCATTAGTGACCTCTTAATTGCCTGATCCAATTACCTTTTCCTCTTCGATCACTACATTTCACACCCCTGACCACTCTCTTCTTGGTATTCTCTCCCCTTCTTGGCTTCTGTGACACTGTTTTCTCCTGGTTGTTCTAGCTCTCTGACCACTCCTTCATTGACTTTCCTGATCCTGTTCCTCTACCCCTCCTCTCATCCCATTTGGATATCTTCCAAGGGAATGTCATAGATTCTCCCCCTACACACACACACACACACACACACACACACACACCCCCAGCCTCTTTGCACATGACACACCATCTTCAGCTCCTGAATCTGTGCCTTTTCACTGGCTTTTTTCCATGCCTGCAATCTCTTCCCTTCTCGTCTCTACCTCTTGGCTGCTTTCAAGACTCAGTTAAAATCCTACTTTTTGCAAGAAAACTTTCCTCATCTCCCTTAATGCTGGTGCCTTCCCTCTGAGATTACCTTCCATCTACCTTGTATATCCCTTTTATATACATAATTATTTTTGTGTTGTCTCCCTTATAAAAATGTAAGCTCTTTGAAGGCAGGGGTTGTTTATGTTTTTCTTTGTATCCCCAGTGCTTACTTAGCAAAGTTCTTGAAATATCATAAGCATTTAATAAATGCATGTTGATTTAACTTGATGCAGTCAACTCTCAAGACTATTATCTCCTGAGATAAAGTCCTTCATTACTAAGTCCCCGTTCAGCATCTCCACCTAGATGTCTCACAGATATCTTAAACTCTACAATCCAAAATGGAGCTCACCTTCCCTCCAAACCCTGCTTCTCTTAATTTCCCTGTTCTGTTTTTTTTTTTTTTTTTAAGAAAAGCTCCATTTATTCCTATACTTTCCAGTGTGTTTATGGTTTTTGGCAGGGCAGTCAGGGATAAATGACTTGCCTAGGGTCACACAGCTAGTATGTTTTTAAGGCCGAATTTTAACTCAGGTCCTCGTGACTCCAGGGCTGGTGCTCTGTCCACTGTGCCACCTAGCTGCCCCAGCCTATTTCTTTTGATAGCACTATCATCCTACCAGTCATCCAGCCTTGAAACTTCAGCATAATCTTTGATACCTTCTTCCTGCTCAGTCCCCACATCCAATCAGTTGATTAAGTCTTGTCGCTTCTACTTCTTCATAACCTCTAGCACCTTTTTCCTATTTTCTGCTCTTAGTGCTGTGACCCAGTTCAGGTCCTCTTTATCTCTCAATTGTTCTGTTGTAATAAGCTCCTAATTGATCTCACTGACTCCAGTTTTTTTCATTTCCAATCCATCTTTTAAGTAGCTGCCAAAGTAATTTTTCTAATGTCCAGGTCTGATCGTATAACTTCTCTGCTAAAAACCTGTGGTTACTCAGTACTGCCTATAGAATAAAACACATATTCCTTAAGCTGGTATTTAGGGCTCTCTATAATTTGGCTTCAGCTTAGCTTGTCATTGGTGTTTCATACTGCTCTCCTCCGAGTACATTTTATTCCATCCAAACTGGTTTCCCCAGTTTTGTCCTGCCCTTTAAAAACTCATGCTATTCCCTATACCTGAAGCATATACCCATCGAATTTCTTGGCTACTGAAACAGTGGCTTCACTTTTTTCAAGATCTAATTTAGGGGCCTCCTCCTTCTCACTCTCCACCCTCCAAACAAAAGTAGTCCCTCTGCCTTCAAATTACTTCTGCTTCTCTGTTAAACTTCTCTTAGGGACTTAATCTTATTCTAACACATCATTATAGTTATTTTCATACATACTCTTTCCATCCTAGATTATAAGCTCTGTCAGGAGAAAGGCCAGTCCTTTTTCATCATATTTGCAAGGCACTTAATGAATATTTATTGGATTGGGGGAAAAGGGAATGTTATAGATTTCAGTCTAGCATGGGTATGGCATAAATCTCTGCTTTTTCTCCTCTAGCTGGTTCATTCACCCAACCCATACTCACAATAACAGTTCTGTGGTTCCCTGAGAGGGATATACCACTATATCTTACAATTCAGAAGTCTCAGAACCCTAGGAGTAACTTTGGTGTGTGTTTGTGGCAAGGGGGAAAGAGTCTTACCACTTGTCACTTCAGCTTCTGAGCCTCCATAGGTGTGCTTTCCATTTATATAAAAAAAACACCATGACACCTTTAACTCTTTTAAACTTACTAAAAACAAGACAAAAGCAATAATAATCATAACATTTACTCAGCATAATGCAAGAGCAAAAATATCATATTTACTTAGTAGAAGGCAAAACAGGAATAATTATAACATTTACCCAATAAAAAACTAAAGTAAGAATCATTATAATATAACAGTGTACCCATGAACCTTGGTCACAGTTTTCCTGATATATAGTATACATGGAGTAGTGGAAACATACCTACAGAAATCTAACAGGTAGGTACGTGAATGAGACAACCCACATTCTCTTGGGAAACTTACAGCCTTGACATCTTTGGTCTCTTTAGGAACATTACACAAAGATACTTCTCTGCTAGCTGCTCCCCTTCTGGTCCTCTCCTGCTAGACAAACTTCTCTTCTCTTCAAATAAAGTAGTGACAAGCTCTTTTAGCTCATAGCCACACTTGCTGAGACATTGAGGAAATGTTGCACTATTTTAGCAAAATGTATATATCAACATTGTACTTGTTTGGTGCTAAGCAGTTCCCTTAAGTCAGAGTCCTGCAGAACTCCTCAGACCTTCAAATAATGGGGGATTTTGCTTTGCTCAACCCAAAGCCAATATTCTTCTCACAGCATAGCTCACAGTTCACAGTAAAACAGGCAAAACTTATGGCACCAGCAAGAGGTTCCCCTATAGATGGAACCAGAAAATATCGAAGCCTGATAGCCATTCACATTCCACTGAGTCTCTGGGGGCTGCTCCAGCCTTGAGCAGCTGGAAGCCTTTCATGTCTTCTCTCTGCCTCTTCCTATAGCTTCTTCATTCTCAAATCAGAGCTTCCTGGTGGTTCCTTGACTTGTTTTTGCCCTATGAGATAAATTCCCCTTTCTGTCAGATGTTTTTATGTAATCTTCCCAGTGTCCCTAGTTACTTGACTTATAGTTTCTTAGCTATAAACTTCAAAACCCTGAAAGTTAATCACATGCAAATACTCTGGTAGACCACAACACCCTACTACCATTGTTATCTCAATCGTCGTTATTTCTGCCTTCCAACAAGTCCTCTCAATTCAATTATCTGAAACCACCATTTTATCTGGCAGAGACAGTTTCTTCACACCATCTGATTTTATCAGTTTTCCTTCCACAAATGGTTTGTTTGTTGTTGGCTTTTTTTCTGTCCCATTCTGCTGTCAGACTTTGCACGTGAAAGGGGTGGTACCTGACATGAAGTCTTACATTGCCTTAAAAATCTAGAGCTGAGAGGGACCTTATAAAACAGCCCTTTCTTTTAGAGATCAGGAATCTTCGACCCAGAAAGGAGAAAGACTTAGCCTAGGTCACACATTATAAAACAGAGCCACGATTCTAAACCAGATCCTCTGACTCAAATTCAGGGCAACTATGTATCACACACCATACTTTTAAAAAATTAATAATAATAGCTAGCATTTATATAGCACTTTAATATTTACAAAGCACTTTACAAATATTATTTCATGTATCCTCATGACAGCCCTGCGAGGCAGATATTATTATTTTCCCCATTTTACAGAAGAGGAAATTGAGGCAAAGAGAGATTGTGATTTGTCCAGGGTCACATAGCTATTGAGTGAGTGTCTAAGATTTGAACTTATGTTTTCCTTCTTCCACGTAGTGCTCTGTGCTAGTATTGAACCAGCTACCTGCCTATTTTATACTGTGTTAGGAATGTCAAAGATAAGGAACTATTTAAATAAATGAAAGATTCGGTGAATAAAGTATTCGGGAATCATGATCATGCTCTCAGTTGTACTGGGTAAGTTTTCAATTTTTAGCCAGGCCACAGGCTGCCTTTTAATGTTAGCTAATGTTTTCAAAATCCATTAGTTCTGCAAATAACCATTTACTACACACCCTGTATAAAGCAATGGTGCTGTGGAGGATACAAAGGTGAATTAAACATAATTCATGACTTCAGTGAGCTCATAGTAGAGGAAATAAGATGTCTACAAGTTATTATAAGACAGGCTGTGATTAATGTCATAAGAGAGGTAACATTAAGTGTTGGGAATATTTAGAGAAGGATCAGGACCCTGGATTAGAAGTGCTTCATGGTCAGTCAACTAGCATTGAGTAAGGTACTATGAGCTAGGTAGTATGCTAAGTGCCGGGGATACAAAGAAAGACACTCTCAAAATAAACCCCAACAACCCAGTTCCTGCTCTCAAAGGTGCTCACAGATGTCTGAGGCTGATGAGACTGGGTATGAGGGGCATGCCTTTATGGGACATGTCTATAAGGTCCTCTACCCTCAATGATCACCTCCAGGTCATGTGTTGTTTCTGAGACCGGGAAAGGTGCCCATTTCGGCACATCAGGCTTTACTCTGCTACCTCCCCATTTGTGGGTGCCTTCTCTACATGGGTCTCTGCAGGGTTTTTCTCTCACCAAAGTGCCTGAGGTAATATGAGCACAGGGGGAAAAAGGTGCCTAGATGGTATGTACAAGGAAGTAATTGAAGATTAGGTTGAGACTAACTTGGGAGGATGTTGCACACCAGGCTGAGGAGCTGGGGGGGGGGTGTTATATCATAGCCAGTGGGGAGCCACTGATGGCTTTTGAACAGTGGAGTGACGTGATCAGAGAGCTGGGCTTTAGGAAAATTAGTCTGGCACATTACAGGAGTTTGATGGGTGGGACAAGTGCATAGAGCACTTAAAAAGATATTGCAGTAATAAAGTAGGATTGTGGCAGTGGAGTGGAATGGGGGAATAGATAAATGACGGGATTTATGTGAAGGATGAGAGAAAGGGAGAAATCAAAGATTACTCCTGGAGTCTTTACGCAAGACTCTTGTCTGGGTAAATGGTCATTCCATGAAGAGAAACAGGAAAGTCAGGAGAATGAACTTTTTTTTTTTCCCTTTGGGCAGGGGGAAGGGCTGGTAAAGATAAGGAGCTTGGTTTTAGATGTGTTTGCATGGATACTGCTAGTAGGACACTCAGGTACAGATGTCCAAGCAGCAGCTGGAAATGTGTGGCAAGATGTGTTCAAGAGAGAGGTTGGGGCTGGAGATACAGAATTGGCTTTAGTCTGCAGAGACATGTTACTGAAGCCTTAGAGGTAGATGAGATTGCAGTGGGAGAAACCAGTTATTTCAGTAATGCTTATAATAATACATCGTGGTATTTATTGAAATCACATGCTTATGTCCAATCCTAGGTGATTAAAGAGTTTGACAGAAGGTTCTAGAACTGGATCAGGTTGGGCCACATCATATCTCTGTTACATTAAAAAATACACATTTTTTATTCCTGCATGGTAAATAATCCTTTAACTGACATCAGTTACATAAAGGCAACACTCACTTAAAGGCAACGTAATATAATGAATAGAGTACTGGTCTTGCAATTAAAAAGACCTGGGTTCAAATCCTGCCTCAAACACTTAAAAGCTAGGTGATGACCCTGGGGGACCTTTTTGAGCCAGTCTCCATTTGGAAGGAAAAATGAAAAAAATAATAGCATCTGGGTCAGAGGCTGATTTTAAAGAACAAGTTAAATATCATGTGTAAAGTGCTTTGCAAACCTTGAAAGTGCTACAAAACTGTCACAATTAACATTGTGATCATCATGATTTAAGGGACAGAAACTAAATGGTAGGATTTATTTTGCAGCAGTTCCTTTAGTGTGCATGGCTTTGTGGTAGCTTGCAGGATGCTCCAGCTGTTGGTTGTTTTCTACCATTAGATGTTCTAACATCTGACAGCTTTCCCTGGCTGACTTCAAGCCATTTGCTGTCGCTCTTTCCCACCTTTGCAGCTGGTGGGCATTATTGTTAGGGAGGAGCAACTCCCCATCACTGCCGTAGGTGATTAAAAGACTTTACTGTGTTGGGGTTCCCTTGTGTCGCTGGGATGCACATACCTTGTTTGGAGGCAAGTCATATTCAGGATTCCTTCTTGGCTGCTCTACAGACATACCTTACCAAGATTGATGCTGTTAACACCTTGCTAATGATCGTGAGAATCTAGAGATGTTCCTAGAGTGGCATCATTTCATAGAAACTCCAAACTGCCCAGCATTTATTTGTTTCAAAAGCATATAAGTAGGTATAAGATTTGATAACAATTTTATCTATGCTATTCTTGTAGATTTGCATCAGCAGTGAGGATGGGGATGAAGAGGTAAAGCCATTAGAGGGACTGCAATATTGGCTGTTTTGTTCTGTGTAAATATCATTAAACTAATTAATTAAAGTAAGAGAAATTATTTTATGATTATTTCTGTTTAACAACATTATTCCTTTTTGATAGTGGAAGATGAAAATTCAGAAAACCTGAAGGTCAAGGGATATTTTGGAACTGTCAGTATACGGATATTAGTTCATCAGTGGCCTCTGGCATCTAGTTCCAATGTGCAAATGATTGCCATCCAAGAAGAGGTAGTAGAGATTGATGGGAAGCAAGTAAGAGAGCCTACTTACTTAATTTCAAACTTAGTAGTTACTTTAAAAATTGTAAGCAATTGTGCCATGAGTTTTGTGAATTTTAGATTGTGTTTTCTTCTATCACGTTTCTGATGATTTGGAAAAAAGTATTTAAGATTTGATGTTCCATAGTCATAAAGGAGCCTCCTCAACCCCCAAAGCCCTAACTTTTTGGAGTTTTTGTTTTACCTTTTTCTATTGTCATATTTAGCATAAAAATGATCAACTACATTCCTTCATGTTAGTTCATTTATGAATACTCTTGGAGGAAATGAAGCAATTAGACTTGGTTTTCACTTCTGCTACAGGTTGGACATGGCTATGGATTAAATTAAATGGAACTGAAAGTAAAGCCTGTAAGAGAGTGCCAAAGCAGACAAAAATATATTAAAATTGCAAAATTTTTCCCAACGTGGAAAAAAGTAATTATTCTAGGTTACTGTAGTTGGCAACCTACAGAAAGGGATCAAACAGGAAAATGGAGTTTCAGTTTATGTAAGACCCAGTGCCATTATTTAAAACAAAAAGTAACTGATTGTTTCATTTTTCATAGGCTGAACAAAAGGATGTGACTGAAGTTGGTATTTTAGTTAAGAACCAGAGAATTCACAGACGTTCAAATTATACCATTCCTTTGGAGGAAAGCATACTGTATTCTATTCCCAGAGACAGTGATGTTTTATTTACACTTCCTAATCTCTCAGGAAAAGGTAACTACACCCCCCCACACACACACACACGAACTGAGTAAATACTGAGTTAAGAACAATATCTTTCTTGATGAATACTTGTTTAACACTTGAGTAATAAAATATTTTTATGCATACTTCAGTGCTTTAATGAATCAGATATCTTATTGGTGTGGATACTTTTTCCATTAATCAGTTAATACCTACAGAGATGGTATGAATTGCAACACATTCATACCTTCTCCTGTCTACATCTTTCCATAAATCCTCTCTGAAGAACCCATTCTATGTACTGGAGGTGCTACTCTTGTTAGTTTTATTAATATTTATTTTTTTAATTTAATAATAGACCCTCCCTTCCTCATAGAAACCCCTTCCCTGTCCACTTTATAACACCAAAGAAAAAGTTAAGCAAAACTAACAGATGAAGCATCCCTAAAAGTCAGGATATACAGCATTTGTAATCTGTAGGTTCTCCCTATTCCAAAGAAGAGGAAGGTAGGTTTCATGTGTTTTCTCTGTTTTTTAAATTCATGGATCTCACTAGAATACTTGGGACTCAATTGTCCCACTCTTGATTCTTTGATAGAGTTGCTAACCCACCAGCTTTTTCAGTAATACTTGTTCTCAACGATTTGTCATGCCAGTCAATTCGCAAATTCAGTGGTAAATTGATACAGCCTACTTAGACCCACCATGTGCCTTTTTTTCCCATTGCCCTTGAGGTCTCTCAGGTCACTTGATTCTTCTGAGATCATGATATTCCACAGTGATATTAAAAGAGAATGAGACTTTCACATCTTTTAGCAGTTTGAGATCATTGGAAGTACAGTGCACTTTCCTAGATGTGATCTGGTTTGAGCTTTGTCCTTCATCCTTATAACAAATTTTACTATTGATAATTGCTGATGCAAAATTTTGATCACAATAATGTTGTTAAGAAATAAACTTCTTTCAGAAAGTCCTTTGTGTTGCTTTGGATTTATATTCAAGGGTTTATAGGAGTCTGTTTTTTCAGACATGGGCAGTACAGGGTAGGGGAAAGAGTGCTGACTGGAGTCAGAGAACCCGAGTTCAAATCCTCCCTCTGATGCTTATTACCTGTGACCTTGGGCATCATTTACCCTTCCTGGGCCTTAGTTTCTTTTCTGTAAAATTGGAGGGGCTTGGGGAAGAGAGGAAGAGGTTGACTAGATGTCCTCTGAGGTCCTTTACAACTCTAAATCCATGATCCTTTGGCCATTCTATGATTTGGAAGATCTCTTCTGCCATAACTACTCTGAAGTAGAACTCTTGAGTATCTTTGTTTTAAAGTTCTCTTTTAAAGGGAAAATTACTTCACCTTTGAAAAGCCAGAAACCTTTTTGCTACTTCAGTTAAAATTTATTTTTGTTTGAGTTGAGTTTTTCTATAACGTTTTTAAAGAACAGATAAACATCACTTTCTATTCAGTGAGAGATGTGGTTAACTTTGTGGTTTTCTTTTAAAAAGTCTAGATAGTTAGGCTTTCGATGCTGATTTCTGTACATACTATGACTTTCATGACCTTAATCTTATTTACTGACCTTAAAGTTAGTGGTGGAGAGTATAAAGGAAGCTAGAAACATTCAGTTAACTTCTGTCTTCCTACTTCTGTAGATAGCCCTAGTCCATTGCAGACAACCAGTCAGTACCTTATCAGGAATGTGGAAACGACCATAAATGAAGACACACTGCCTGGCAAGTTACCAGAAACTCCACTGAGAGCAGAGCCTCCATCTTCATATAAGGTAAATATCAGTATCTCTTATTGTCTTTAAAGTATAGGCCGATATAAGAAAAGAGAATGCGCAACACACAAAAAGTAACAGAAAGCTTAAGGGTTGGAGCCCTGCAAATCTCTTAAAATAGAAATGATCATATGATTTTTATGTGATAATTTTATCTTTTACTTTTTTAACTGGAACTATGATATCAACAATATAACAAGCTCCCGGGGATGACCAGGTAGCAAGGTGGCACAGTGCACAGAGTACCAGGCCTAGAGTCGGGAAGACTCATCTTGCTGAGTTCAAATCTGGCCTCAGACACTGACTAGCTGCATGACCCTGGGCAAGTCACTTAACTCTGTTTGCCTCAGTTTCCTTATCTGTAAAATGAGCTGGAGAAGCAAATGGCAAACTACTCTAGTACCTCTGTCAAGAAAACCCCAAATGGGGTCAGGAAGAGTCAGATATGACTGAAAAACCACTGAACTACCCGGGGGACAACTTCCCCTATGGATGAGGTAGGTGGTACAGGGAACAGAGTGCTGGGTCTGGGGTTGGGAAGAGGTGAGTTCAAATCCCTCCTCAGACACCTGCTAGTTGCATGCTCCTGGACAAGTCATTTAACCTGTTTATCTCAATTTCCTCATTTGTGAAGTGGGGATAATAGTAGCACATGTCTTCAGGGTAGTTATGAGGATCAAATGATTAAATCTGTAAAGCCCTTAGCATTGTGTGTGACACGTAGCAGGCGATTATTAACTACTTATTTCCTTCTTACCTTGGTGGGTATGGTTATAATAAAGACTAGCCCCAGTTATCAAAGTACCACATGGGCACTCCCTTAGATTCCAGTTCCTTTTTTCTGCTTTTAATCTCTCCATTAAGATCAGATTTGTTTTGCTTGTGACTATTCCCTCTTTGGTATGATCCTTCTTAACCCTCCCTCCCAGCCGGTTTCCCTGTTGAGCCTGATATATTTTTATGCCAAGTTCTGTGTGTGTGTGTGTGTGTGTGTTCAACCTTACTTTGTCCATCTCAGAAAAGTGAGGTTCATCTGATGCCCACTCCTCCCCTCTTCATGTTTGTATATTCTTGCATACTACAATTATGAGAAATAAATAGTAAGTTCTACTCCCTTCTTCCTCTTTTCCAATAGATTTCTCATTTTGCCCTCTTAAAACCCTCAGAACAGATTCATTCCACCCCCCATGACCTTTGTTTTTACTATCTAATTCCCTCAACAACCCCAATAATGAAGAACATTTAGGTTCTGAAAGAACACTTGTCGCTTCTCCCTCATGAGAATGTTAGTACTACACTCTCACAGAGCCTCTTCCCATTGCTCACATAGATTTACCTTTCTAGGTAAATTTCTCTTATCTCTTGTGTTTGTATTTCAAGTTCCTCCTCAGGTCTGGTCTTTTTTATAGCCAATGCTTGAGAATCTTATTACATTAAAGGTACTTTTTTTTTTCTCTTATAGGATTTTATTCAGCTTTTTAGTATTTTTTGGTTGTAAGCCTACGTTTTTACCTTTTGTAAATAAATAATAATAAATAAATAAACCATGATATCCCCTGGTTTATATTAGAAGTTATCCATTCTTGTGTACTTGTACGTCTTCCTAGATGCTTGTAATGTTTTTTTTCCTTGGATGTGGGTATTCTGGATTTTGGCTGACATTACCTTTTTGTGGTTCTTTTAAAGGAGGACTTTATCTTTACTTTGTCTTCTGGGTTTAATAGGGGATTTTCATTTCTCCCCCCTTCATTTTTTCTAGGTGCTGATGTGTTCCTTGTGAACACTGAATCCATTTTGATTTTTGAGTATGTGTTTGCAATTATTATGGATTTTCTTCTTCCTTTTGGAGAGCCTTAAATTTGCAATAATTACTGATACTGGTGGGTGTTTTGATTTACTCCTCTTTCTAGGTTTTAGTTCCTCTGTGTTGGGGCGAGGCTCTCCAACTTGCTGCCGTTTTTGGTGAGCTCATGAGCCAAGTTTGATCTTGTCCTGGGTCCCTGGGGTTCTTCTGCTGATCTTTATTACTCTCCCTCTCTCACCCCTCAGACTCTTCACTGCCCTCTTTGGCATCTCATGATAGAGGTTTAGAGACCTCAGAGCACCTAGCTTGGGCTGTCTTGGTTTGGGCATTATTCTGGTTACTCTCTGCTGCTATTTCTCACATTTTTTTTTAGGTCCTCTGGGTCTTTTTAGCCATCCAGAGGCCTTGTCAGGAGAGCATTATACTCTTGCTTCCTCTGGACACAGATCCTTGAAAACTCTGTGTGCCATCTCTGGTTGTATTGGAAGCTTAGCCTGATGTGGCACTGGCTTTCCTATCACCTTCAGGATTCTGGCTGACATTTTTTTGCAGCTTTTAGATGGAAAGAGTCACTTACTATATTTTCTCATTGGATTTTTGGATCATTATTTGGTCTTCTGTGAATTTCAAGGTTTTGCTAGAGGTGGTATATGGGAGCTGGGTGGTGTATCTCCTGTTCAGGTGGCCATCTTAGGAGGAAGTCTAAATATGCTGATTTTGAACTCATTGAGGGAAGAAGGAAGAATAGTCAGGAAAGTTATGGTCATCGAGATAGGAGACCCAGGAGAGTGTGATGTCATGATACAACAAGAAGGTAGGAGTGTCAGGGTGTGGTTAGCAATACTAAATGTTGCAGAGAGAGGTCAAGGAGGGTAGTGCCTGAGAAGATGAAAGTATATTTGGAAATAAGGTCATTAAGAGAGAAGTTTTAGTGATGAGTTCAGAAGCCAAGTTGCAAGGGAATAAGGATTCATTAGATAGTAGTAAGAAAGTGGAGAGGGGAGATGAAATTTTGACTTGAAGTGGTAGGAGTCCCATGAGTAAAATACCCAAGAAAGATCAAGGGAAAGGGTTTTAGTTTTTAAAGAACAGAGGATATATGAACATGTTTGTATGCAGTTTGTTGGAAAGACAGGGGAGAGAAAAATTGAATATGTCCTAGAAGAGTTGGAATCTAGGATTACAAGTGGAGGAACCAGTCTTTACAAAGAGAAATATTCCTTCTGGGAGATGGGCAAAGGTACAGAACTTCCGAGGTATTACAGGGATGGGGAGTTAGAACAGGGTAGGTGCAGTGAACATGGGGCATAAGGGTAGATATGTAAATTTTAGTAGTAGCTGGATATGAGAAAAATTTTTGGTTGGGGTAAGGATTTCAAAGTATCAGCCAGAGACTAGTTTCATGATGAATTTATACTGGGTAAAATCAACATGTTTTGTGATAAAGAATCTGTCTTGATTTAGTTCTACCATCTTTAATGCTAAGACCCCATACATCTTAACTTTTTTTTTCTTTTTAGGTAATTTGTCAGTTGATGGAGGATTTCAGAAAATATATGTGTAAATTCTGGATCAATGTTTTCCCAGTACTTTTTATGTTTATGAATATCATAGTGCTTGGAATTATAGGAGCGGCTATAGTAATAGCCATCTTAAAGGTGCTTTTCCCTAAATATGAATCCAAGTAAGTAATTCTCATTTTTAACGGAAACTACCACTCTAGCTTTCCTTTCTTCCTGCCACTCCACTTTGTCATTTAGGCAAATGGACAGACTCAGTAAATGCTCCCACTCCCCCATTCCCCCAATAGTAGCACCTTCCTGGAAACATGGATTATATTTCAAGACTAGGGCTGATTGACACTGCTGTGTTAATACTGTGACCATCTGCATGAAGATCCACTTTTATTAGTCTTTCTTCATAGCTACTGTGGTGCTTAGATGCTTGTATTTTGTTGTAGCCCAAGAAGGAAGTTATTATGATAGTCTGTAGTATAATTCTGACAAACTTCATTCATTTATGTACTAATATACTATTAACAATACGTAGTGGTATATGTAGGTACCAGTAGTACTACTAGTATATTACTAGTATACTATGTACCCATTAGGATATTAAAATGTTATTAGCAAATTATAAGTATTTAAAATAAAACACCTTATTTCCAATCTCTGTGCCCAGAAGGTAGGAATTACACTTTCTTCCTAAGTTAGGTACTCTTTCTGCTTAGCCTGTGAGTTGGGGATTCCCACTTCTCTCAAGACCATCTAGCCTGTGATCTGGAAGCTCCAGTGATACTCCCACCATACCCATCTCTCTTCCCCTCCCCCACTTCCTACTATTACTGTCCTAGCTCCCTTCTTTTGTGGATCTGTTACTTTAGAATCTGTTATTGTAGGTCCAAATAAATTGAAGAAAAACCTATTTCCTTATTTACTATCTTCTGTATTACAATAAGACACTCTTTTCAATTTCAGGGGAATTCTTCACTTGGATAAAGTGGGCTACCATAGGTACTACCCTATGGACTTCTTGGAGACTACAGAGAAATCAAAGGATAATCTTGAAGAGAAGATATGTATTTAACACCTCCTTACGTCATTTTCCCATTGTGGAATTTGCTACTTGGTTCATAATTTCCAGTCATTTAATGAAAAAGTATAATTCAAATAAGAAATAAAAGTATATTGAAAAACCGTGCCATAACTAAGCTTGGCCTTCTAAAAGAGATTGAAGAATGAGGATATAACATTTGAAATTACCTGACTGGTAATGTCATATATGACTTCCTAAAGAATGGGAGAGTGGTAAAATTAGCCAAATTGAAATAGAAAAAGCGAAGACTTGCAGTACCTATGTTTTTATACCAAAAAAGACTTTACGCCAGTAATTCCAGATGCCTTATTATTAAGAAAATTACATCTAATTTTTTTATTGTCATGTATGAGGTCTTACTTTAAGCACTTTATGAAAAGCTAAACTTAAGAGAAGCCCCAGAATTAAACACTTTTTTAAACTATTTGACTTGTATTTTGTGTAACACTTATGATTTTGATAAAGACCTTTGAGATACATTATTACTTCATTGTACCTGTACTAAGGCTACTTAGCAGGATCCAAATGGAATTGTCAGGTGACATTCTTGCTGCAAAAGACATCTCTTGAGGAGGGAAGGAGTTGGGTATATGCACTTACTGGGTTGTGATAGGTCAAAACTTATGCTAGTGACTCATTCCCCGCAATATAAATCAGTGACGATATTACTAAATTTTAGTGAGCAAACAATACAAAGTTTTAAAAGAATCTAGTAGTGATCTGCTTGGTTTTACTTAGCTATTCTGACTTTGCTTTTCATTGTAATTAACATATGAATGGACTTAAATACTAAGTATATTTATTAACACTGGTATTTCAGTGGAATACCTCAAAATGAAACAAGTTATTTTGAGCCATAAAAAAGTCTCCAGAAGATGGCAGGGTCTCTGCTAATGCTCAAATATCCAGTTCTAGTTTTATGGGACCTTGGTATGTATTTAAAAGCAAATTTATACATAGAAATTTATTCTATGTATTTAGAAGGGGAAAATATAAATGAAATCATTTAAAATTTTATAACTCATTTGATTTGTCAATTCTGTATCATTTATAAAATGCCTTAGATTTAGCTCCCAAAGTAAGTTGAATAAGTTCTGAATAAAACTCTGGAAAATAAGCATTCATCTGCCCTTACAGCAACATCCTACTACTCAGGGACATGAAAGTAGAGCCAGGTAAGACTCTTGCATACTTCTTCAAATGACTAGTGAAATAGGTAAAGTAAGGAAAGCCTTCTTCTGGCCTTGCACAGAATCCTGCAAGCAGGAAGAAGGGCAGTGTAGGTCTTTGTTCCAAGTTATTTCCCCTTTGGTTTACCTAAATGAATAAAACAGTTCTTAAAAGTTATATCCATGAGCAAATAAGCCTGAGGTTAGAGCTGGCTCCATTACTACTTAGATTGAAAAGTGGTTGCTCAGCTTTCTTCCTCTATTAATACATGAAACAATGAAAAAAGAGGTGTTATCTCTAAGTGTATATGAAGGTATGGCCTAAAATAAGTGTTAATTATGAAATACTTTTAAGTAAAAAAGATTTAATGCAAAAATAACAAATTGAGTCAAATTTCCCTGCAGCTTAAAAAAATTACATTTATTCAGAATCATGAGTTCCTTTTATAATTATCATTATGAAAGTTTAAAAAAATATAACAGTGCAATGAAATACTACTTTTCATTACTATTGAAACAACATAAGGCAGGTTTCTCACAGTTTACTTTAAAAAACAATTTAGCATGATCCAAATTCAAATATCCATTTTTCATATCTTTCAATGTCTGCAGCAGATACTGACTTAGAAACCTTTTTTAAAGCCATTCCGAAGTCCTCCATGGTTGTAGGCATATGCATTTCATCTCTTGAAAGATTTCTGATTTCTTCAGGTGTCAAACCTTCAATGCGCCTCCTCATGGCCATCAGGGATGCATCTCTTCATTTTAAAGAAAAAAATTAAAGGTTAAATCTTTCACATGTCACAAGGGTCTGGTTACACTAAACTGAAAACAAGAAACCTTTTGTTGCTACAACAGAATGTTGCAATGGTTGTAAGTATGATTTTATTACCTGTGCAATAAATAGTGTTGTATGATACACATTTAATGTTTTCTTCACTTGAAATGCTTCTCTAATATGCCAAATAACAATTTCTACCTATCTTTAAGGCCCAGTTCAAATAACACCTCCTCTACAAAGCTGTCCCTAATCCTCCCTAAGATGGAAATTCTCTACTGATTCTTGAAGCACTTTTTTTTGTTGTGTATTTCTTAAACACTTGTGTTCTATTTTGTATTATAATTATTGGTATATATGTCATTTACACTTTACTAGACTGTAAGCTCCTGGAGGGCAAGGACTCTGTTTTTTAATCTTTGTTTTGGCCTAACACAGAATAGCCGCTTAATAAATGTCTGCTGAATAGCTGAAAAATGTTATCAGTTTATTTTAAGTTAATCACACCACTTGTAAACAGCATACCCCAACATGTAACTATTGTACACTATTAAAATAGATAAATGGAAGCTACATACACCAAAATATTTATAGCTGCACTTTTTGTAGTTAACAGAACTAGAAATAAAGTGGATGCCCATTGATTGGGAAATGGCTAAACAAAATGTGGCACATGGATATGATGGAATATTATTATGATGCCATAAGAAATGATGAACATGATGAATTGCTGAGAAGCAGCAAGACTGATGCACAGTGAAGTAAGGAGAGACAGGAAAAACAATTATATCACTACAGGAAAGAACAAAAAAACCATCAAAACTGAATACTGCAAAATTATATTGAAGAAGGTTGGCCCAGTCAAATGAATATATATCCAGTCCCCTTCTCTCTTCCCGCTTCTTCGAAGTAGAGGATACGAGTGTGGAACATTATATACATCTAATATCAGACTTTGATATTTTGGTTAGTTTTGTGGAAGTTTCCCTTTTTAAAAAAAATTCACTATTATAAAAAATGGCACTTGGAAGGGTAATAAGAAAAGAATAAGTAGGAAAGCAGGGAATAACAAAAGATATACAAATTTTATTTTAAAAATACATGAATTACATGGAAAAGCAAATTTAACAGGAAAAAGAGGCTGGTTGTAGGAAACTTTATTAACCAATAAATGAGGCCAATGAACAATGACAACAAAAAAAGCTTCCATCCCACTGGGGAAAAAATGTTTGGTTACCTGTATGACAGATTGTATACTAAAAGCTAAATTTCTTTTTTTTTTCTTATATGGCACTAAGTCTTTTAAAAACGGTTAAATCTTAACACACTCAGGTATGCTGGGCAGCATGTTTGACATCTTTGATTTACATTGTTGGAAGAAACATTCCCATCAATGAAATCATAAATCCAAGTGAATATTTGGGTATTGATATCTCGTTTTTACACTACACTTATTTCCCCATAATTCCACTCCCTAACCCCACTGAATCCTCCCTTATGACAACAAAAAATCAAAGTTAAGTGAAACCATCCAACAGAGCAACAATTCCTGAAGGCATATTTATACCACAATCCACATTTACAGTCCCTAACCTCTCTACTGAGAGGAGGAAGATATGTGTCTCATTACCAATTTTTAAACACCAAGATTATTTACTTAGATTTCGGTAAAGTATTTGACAAATTCTTTCAAGTTATTCTTTTAGATAAGGAGAGAGAAGAGCTACATTTATCAGCTGGATTAGATTATATTCATTAGAGATTAGTTGGATTCAGAACTGGTTGAATGGTCAGACCCCAAAATTAATCAGTAATGGTTCAATGTCCACTTTGAAGGTCCCAGAAATTGGTTCTTATTCTTGTATGGTTCAACATTTTTAATACTGGTTTGGAAAAAGATACAGGCTTGGATAAAGGCTTCTCAACTTTACAGATGACACAAATCTGGGAGGGATAGCTAAAACACTGGAGTACAGAATCAAGATACTGTATCAATGGGCTGAATCTAATCAGATGAAATCGAACAGGTATAAGTATAAAGTTTTAAACCTGAGTTCAAAAAGCCAAGTTCACAAGTATAAAAGATAGGCAAGCCATCGCTAAATATTAGGTCATCTGAAAGAGATCCAAGCATTTTCGTAGACTGAAGTTCATAAATTAAGAATATGATATGCACCCAAAAATGTACCATCATCTTAGGTTGTATTAAATGAAGCATAGTGTCCAGAGATAGGGAGGTGATAGTACCATGCTACTTTTTGCAGATCAAACCATAATGAATGTTTATTAAATGCTTACTAAGTGTGTATGTATGGATATGTATGTGTGTGACTATATCTATCTATACATATATGTCAAGTGTATAAACAAGACACAAAGTAGATGGGGGATAACCATAGAAGGGAAGACTAGCAGTTGTTGGAGGGTTGGGAGAGAGATCGAGAAAGGGTCCTTTAAGCTTAGAGCAACTGAAAAGGAATACTGAAGGGGCTGAAGAATATGCCTTATGTGGGCTAGCTGAAAGAAATAAGGATGTTATGCCAAAGAGAAGATTTGATATGTGGGGAATGAAAAGCTGGGGGTAGGTTTGGGAGTGTGGAGAGATAGTTGTCTACAAACATTTGAAATGCTGTCACCCAAAAAAGGGCTTAGATTTCTTATGCTTGAACCAAGAAGACCAAAAGAAATAGGTAGAAAGGGAAGGTAATAGGCATTTATTAAGTGCCTACTATGTGCCAGGCTTTGTACTAAGCACCTTATAAATATTCTCACATTTGATTCTGACAACAACCCTGTGAGACAAGGGATTATTATTATCTCCATTTAACAGTTAAAGAAACTGAGGCAGACAAAGGCTATGAATTGCTCAGGGTCTTAGCCAGCTGTTACGTGAGACTAAATTTAAACTCCCATTTTCCTGACTCTAGGCCCAGCACTCTATCTACTAGGCCACCTAATTGTTTAAAGTAGAAGCTATAAAGATTTGTTTCACATAAATAAAAATTTCTATTACTTCACTAGTTTGACTCAGTAAGTAATGGTTTCCCTATAATTGGAAGTTTTCAAGCAAAGGCTAGATGACCACTAATTGGTTATGTGGTAGAGAAGATTCTTGTTCAGTTATGGGTTGGAGTATAGGAGTTTTGAGGTCCCTTTCAATTCTCAGTTTCTGTGACTGTGTCACTTATATTTATTGAAAAAAAAAAAGTTCAACATCACAAGTTCAAAGGACAGATCCCTAGGACCTCCATCTTGGGGTCTGGTCATTCAACCATTAATATATTCTAAACTATTTACTAGCCAATATTTTTCCATAATGTACATAGCGATAGCAAGAGACATGTGTTTCACTGAACCTATAGAAGGCACAGTTGTGAAACAAAGCTACATTACTGATACACAGACACACGCACGTGAAATAGCTTAAATTTTCAACTGAGCAGAACATGATATAATATAAAACTGATTTGTAACTTAGGGTCTAAAATGACTTGAGGCTTCATTTAAATTAATATAACATAAAACTCTAAGGAAACCAATACCCACAAAAGCCCTTCCAATCCAAAAGGATTCCTACCTGCATACATTGGTAATATCTGCACCTGAATAACCTTCCATATTTTCTGCTATACTTGCTAGGTCAACATCATCAGCCAACTCCAGTTCACGCAGATTTATTCGCAAGAGCTCTTCTCGGCCCTTTGCTAGACAAACATCAGAAATGTGGAAAAAAAATTAAGCCCTCAGCATATAAATTAGGTCATTTCTCATACTCTCACACCTATTTTCTAGGGGAGCTCCTCTCTAATACTTCACCCTCCCATTTAATTGTTCAGTGCAGGTAAGTATGCTTACCTACAAGTACTTGCTACTGTTGTGCCTTAGTTGTAGGGGGAGCCTTCAAAGAACCCTTTCCCCCAACCAACAAATGGTCAAATGATATATGAACAGCCTTCTAAAGATGAAATCCAAAATATCAATAACCAAGTGAAAATATGCCCCAACTAACTAATAACTACAGAAATGAAAATTAAAGCAACTCCCAGGTTCCACCTCATGCTCATGATTGGCAAAGTTGACAAAAAGAGAAAAAGAAAAAATGACAAATGATGAAAGGGCTGTGGTAAACAATCACCTCAATGTGGGGATTTGTTTTGACTGACTATGCATATCTATTAAAATGGGTCTTTTTTTCTTTTTTCCCAATGGGGGGGCACCACTAGGAGAGAGAGAGAATTGATTTTTGTTAACTGAAGGCACACTTCAGTTATAGTTAAGATGACTAAACATTAAAATGTTTTCTCTTAAAAAGAAATCTATTAATGCCCAACTAAAAAAAAAAAAAAGATATGTTACAATTTAAGTAACAATACCTGATGGTAATGGAATGTAAATTCTTTTTTCTAGGCGTCGTCTTAAAGCCTCATCAATATCCCAAGGAAAATTAGTAGCTGCGAGAACCATAACCATTTTGGAAGGGTCATCATTTTCAGAAGCCCCTCCAACACCTAAAAAAAGAGAGAGGAGAGAGAAGAAAAGAGTTTGGTTCCATAAGTCATGTTGAAAAATTACAATAGTAATATTACTGCACTGATAATCACTTTTAAAATAATAAGGATTATAAAATATTGGCAGAACAACTTCCTGTACTTTGTTCTTAGTTTGTTAATTCTTTTCCAGCATCGTGCTAATTAAAGCAAACAGAGTTCAGCAATGAACAAAAATACAATTGGACCATTTAGCTTCTATTAAAAGAAAAAAGGGCTCAAATGGTTATCAATATTAATAATTAACTTATAAAATTTGTTTTTCAAAAGTACAGCCTGTCCCATAAAAAAGAAAAACCAATACCACATTAATCCTATTAGCACTAAGAAACAACATGACATAGTGGAAAGAGTACTGACTTTGTAATCAGAATACCTCACTCTGTTACTAACTGTGTGACCTTAGGTAAACCCTCTAATTTCATTAAGTTTTATTTTCATCATCTGTAAAACATAGGTAATATTGCATGAATTAACTTAATTCAAGGTTGTTCTATTCAATTCAACCAACACTTAACTGTTTGCTAGCACTGTATCTGGCAAAAGAGACAGAGACAAAAATAAATAAATAAATAAAGTTCCTGACCTCAAGGAATTCACATTCTATTGGATCAAATGAGATCCTAAAGCATTATATAAATGTGAACTATTATAATTTAATATTAAGTGTGAAGATGGGGGTTAACTACCACACATGTATAAGGTGCCATGTAAAACACCTGCTATGTTACAGCCTTCTTAATATGCACCAAGAACTCCAGCCATAGTTAGTGCTACCATCACCCATGAACAGTTCCGGGACTTTTACTAAGTTCACCACCTCTAGTAAGTACTATGAAAAGCTCTGGCTAGTAAAAGCCTAAGATTTGAAGAGACAGGAGGAAATGTTCCAGATGCTTATCCTGACTTCTCCCAAAGTAAATTTATTTACCATCCATCTGAACCAGTAGTTCTGCTTTCACCCTTCGGCTTGCTTCATGCTCCTCAGAAGTTCCTCTTCGACTACAAATGGAATCTATCTCATCAATAAATATTGTTGTTGGAGAATAAAATCGAGCCTGAAGAAAAACAGAGTAACATGATACCAGGTTACATTCAAACAAATCAGCAGATAGGTGACCAATTACATAAGAGCTAACTAAGTACCTTTCTTTCGCATAGAAAATTTTTGTTTCTGGAGCTGTGAATTTCATTGGTATAAGGACCTTCTACAAAAGAAATTCCCTGAACTGATGTACAGGCAATTTCTGGTCTTAAGAGTCTCCTGAGGCACTGGAAAGGTTAAGTGATTAGACCCACAGGTACATAGCCAGTGTATACTTATTATAGGACAGAAATGGAACTCAGGTGTTCCTGATATTGGGGCCAGTTCTTTATCCACTACACTATACTACATTACCTTCTCAAGAGAAAGTGAGAGAAGTTAAATCACGAACTCTCTGCACATCCTATTCACATATTCTAATCTTACATGTGCAACATATTCCAGATCTCTTCCAATGAAAGTTATTTAGCTAGATATACATATATATTTATTTAATTTTAAGACAGATATACAAATGTATTATAGACTGTAATGCCAGGAAAAGAGCAAAAGGAGAACAATTATACACAGTTGCAAATGTTTATTTACATATATTCATATGATCACAGATTAGATGTCATCTAATCCAATCTCTGTATTTCATAGTTAAAGAAAATGATGAAACTGATGCCTACAGAGGTTAAGTCACACAGGTAGTGACAAAGCCAAGATATGAACATGGTCTTCTAAAACTAAATCAGCATTCTTTCCTCTACAACATATTAGCTACCTAGTTAGAAGTCTTATGATGGGTTAAATTTTTTGTTGTTGTTGTTAAGGCACTATCCTCCAACAAGCATTAAGAATAAAGGAAATGAAATTACCATTATTTTCTACTTTAATGAAATAAGTAGATTTTTCTTCCTATATATGAAAGCAATGGAAAAAGTAGGTAAAACAAATATTTAATAATATACAGATGATTTCTAGGGGCACTTTAAACACATTCCCTTCTACAAACTGATATGTAGGCAAAAATATTAAATCCATCTTTAAAGTAATGTTTCAGGCCAGACAAATAGTTAACAAAACCTATTTAGTAAGGTCATTTTCTTAAGTGGGGATCAACAAGTTATCTATAATCCAACTTTTGGGGAAAGAAGTGATGAAGATAAAAATAGAACATAGTAGCTCCTACCAGTCAAATTATGAACAACTTTGAGGACTAAAAATGCTATTTTTCAATTAGGCTTTAAAAAATTTAAAGTATTCATCAATTATGAGGTTCAAGCCTAAATAATAACTAGAATTATAAAGGGATGATTAATATCTAAATTTTGCTTTAAAAGCAACTATAGTCACTTTTAAGTTGAAAGAAAGTTCATTTAACCATCCTCCTTTCCAGAAAGGAAGTCAGGCTTTACAGATAATTATAATAGATACAGATATACCACCTGTCACATTTTAGAAGTGGAGGAATTTTAGAAAATTAGAGCATAATTTAAATATACTAGAAGTTTCATAGCTTACTAGAATATATTAAAATAATTTGATTCTTCACTCACCCCTGATCCAATCAGTTGTCAGATCTTGTTTACATCTCTACAACATTCCTTACATGTTCCCTTTTCTCTACTTACAGAACCCTCACCTTAGTTTGGGCTTCATCACTTCTTACCGGGACTACTGTAATCATCTAGTTTCCCTACAATCCTGTGCCCACTCCATAAAACTATGAAAGCAAGTGTCCTGAAGTGCAGGTCTAACAATGTCATACTTCTGTGCTCATTAGTGTCAATGTAGCTCATGGATGAAATGTAATACTTCAAGGATGAAATGTAAACTCTGGCACTTAAAGATCTTCCCAATCTTTTGATCTTCTTATACATTATACCTCTCCACACTTCTACCATTCAGGCATTCTGGCCTCTCTGCGGCTCCTCAAACATGACATTTCCTCTGCTGTCTCCCAGGCCTGGAATGTACTCACTCCTCCACTCCACCTCTGGGAATCCTTAAGACTCAGTTAAGTACTACTTTATACACAAAGGTGTTCTTGACTGCTGTAACTATTAGTTCCTCCCTCTAAAAACCACCTTGTATTCATTTGAACACATATACAGTGTTAATTAAGACAAAGTGTCTGCCATAAAGTAGGTACCTAATAACTGCTTACTGATTCAGGGCTATCATCTAACAATTCTTAACTTTCAAGGTTTAGGATGTTCAAATTTGATGATTTTCTATCCAAATACTTCACAAGGTTTAAAAAGTCATCCAATCTCCCCTAATAGGAAATTTCATCTCTATACAGACTTGAATACTACTTGAGATTTAATGCTGTGACATCTTACAATGTTCTCCCAGAAAAGAAACCTTTACTGTCTCTCTCAATTCAATAAGCATTTATTAAACACTTACTATATCCAAGGCACTGAGTATAAAAACAAAATGAAAAATACTCCTTGCTCCCAAAGAACTTACATTTTACTGGGTGCATACAATATGTAAAGAAGTAAGTAAATACAACTTGAGGAGAAGTAAAGAACAAAAAAAAAAGGCAGAAGGGGAAGCGTCAGGTTAGGGACAGCTTATAAGGAGGAAAGAAGCTAAAGTTTCTAAACGACAGAAGTGAGAGGGAAGGAATTCTAGGCATAAGTTGAACAGTCTATGTAAAAACATGAAGGCAAGAGATTGAGGACTCCAGGCCTCAGTCAGCTACAGAGCTTTTCCCCACCTTTCAGTTTTGGGCCTTCCATCTCCTTGTATTGGGAATGTCTATGGTAGGGCTCCCTCTTGAAGCTTACTTTCCCTTCCCCCATATTCTGGCTAGTCCACTAAAATCCTACTAGCCACATCTTTTTAGTTAGCCTAGTGGTTAAGTTATATCAACCATTTGTACAGATCTCCCCATTGCTCAGCCCAGATCCACTCACGGTTTAAGGTATGGCCTTTTTCCCTCAACTGAATTTGTCTCCTGCTCTCAAGTTCCTCAAAGGCTGACCTTAAGCCCCCTCTACACTGCCAGCAAAGCAGATACAAACTAGAACCCACAGAAGGTAAGTTTCTCAAGAGCAAGGGCTATTGCCTTTTTTGTCTTTGTATTTTTATTACCTGGTACAGTGCCCTGGCACATACCAGGAACATTTGAGTGATTATCCTAAAGCTAATGCATAATACATATCTCAGCTACTGGTTCTAATCACTTTCCTATCTCAGGTTGCTGAATCCTTGGGCTTATACTTGGGCCCTCTCCCTTCCCTTGAAAGGACAGATCTCATAAACTTTATACCACATTTCAAAATAAAAGTAAGATCTAACAAGCAAGACAACAAATTACAAATACCCTCCCCAATTAGACAAGCTAAATCCACTGACATACCCAAAAACATATGCAATACAGCACCGTAATAATAGCTACATTACTTCCTAAGGCAAAGATAGTATTTTGGGTTTTTTCTTTTTTTTTCTTTTTTTGTTTTTGTTTGTTTGTTTTTAGGCAATTGGGGTTAAGTGACTTGCCCAGGGTCACACAGCTAGTAAGTGTCAAGTGTTTAGCCTGAGGCCGGATTTGAACTCCTGATTTCAGGGCTGTAATCTATCCACTGCACCACCTAGCTGCCCCGGGTTTTTTCTTTATGACTCCTTTTGGGGTTTTCTTGGCAAAGATACTGAGCAGTTTGCCATTTCCCATCAAGATCAGTATGAAATTCAGGTTGAAAATACTATGTCAGAATTTGAAGAATTGCATTTTTCTTCTTACTCAGATTTTTAAAGGGTGAAAGAACAAAAAAGAAAAAGAAGAAAAACCTCTAACAAAGGACAAACAACTTAAGCCAATAACTAAGTCATTAAACACAAGGTATTTGGTTAACATGCCCAGTTGAAAAAAAGTAAAATGATCCAATCTCCACAAATGTTCAAGATTTTTCCCAACTGGAATAGCTGTAATTATGCTGCTGAGATTTGGAATCACCGAAATAACGCATTTATACAAAAGGCAGATCAGGAATCACTTCAAATTCCAATTCCGAATCACACCAGGTACCAATCCTGGAGATAGCGGGGGCAATAAGTGGGGAATTATGTTACAAAAACAAGCCTTAGTCAACAGTTTTGAATTGTACACATCATTGGACTTCAGGCAAATGCTATACCAGCTAGTCATTCTAGGTTTTCCTGGTCATTGAATACACTGGAGATAGTTCCAACCCACTTTCTAATCCCTAAAATAAGTATAGGAAAAAACATAACGGAAAAAGAAGGTATGGAATCATTAGAGCGCTCTCAAACATTCACCATTTCAAACAGGAGGCGAACAAGCTTCTCAGACTCTCCTCTGTACTTGGAGGTAAGGGTTGATGAAGAAACATTGAAAAATGTTGTTTTGCATTCAGTAGCTACTGCTTTAGCAAGTAGAGTCTTCCCAGTGCCAGGTGGACCAACCATCAACACCCCCTGTTGGAAATATAGTAATATAAGTAAAGAATTAACATGAACCTATACAACTGTGATAGGTTCTGTTTAATACAGTCACTTCTACCAATTCCAAAATAACACACGCATATACTAAAATGATTAAAAAGGCAAAAGATAACTTTATCAGCTTTATGGAACATGTTGTTTCCCTTCCTATCCTCCTCCCCTGACCAAGAAAGACAAATTTTAAACAGGACACATTATAGCTACTATATAACGTTCAAACAATTAACACACCTTGTGCTCAGACAAGCTGTCATCTGAAAGCAGGTATCTAATTCCTCTAGCCCAGAAGACCTATATTTTTTGAGGCCCTGAATTGAGGATCAAATAAGATTTGTAAAAAGTGCTTAGCACAGTATCTGGCACATAACAGGCACTTTAGAAATGCTTATTCTCTTCTCTTCCTTCCCCTTTAGATCACATTCCACATTACTTTTTAACTGATGTGTTTGGAACCATGTTATTAGTTTGAGATAATTCTAACTAGTACTCAACTTGCTTAAAGCTCAACAATCATATCCATCATTTTTATTCACATTTTTTATACTAGCTGCTTCAGAAATCAGAGCCAATTATTTTATATTCTATGGTTAAATAAAAATCTTGAGGCATTTAACTGATAATTATCTACATATTAATTCTGAAATGGTTCATGCTATCACATTCAAACTCACTCAACACAGAACCAATTTAGAAATTACCTAAAAGTCATGATGTACTTGTTTTTGGTGTATAAACTTTGCAATGCCATTTGGTCCATTAGCACAAACTCTTTTACCAAAAAAAATTTTTATAAATTAAAAAATAAGCAAACCTTGGTTTGTATTAGGACATGTGCCACAACTACTCTGATGATGCCATAATACTGAGAAGAAGGGGAAGACTTACTTTCCATGGTCTTCTAATTCCCTTAAAGAATTCTGGCATCCACATAGGTAAAACCACTGCTTCCTTGAGTAACTTTTTAGCTTCTACTAAGTCAGCTATGTCATCCCTGTAAGAAAAGAAGAGATCAGCAGTTCCTTATAGATTTAAAACTTCATCACCAGAAATCTATGCATGTGCGTACATAAAATACCTGATACATGTGTGTGTGTGTGTGTGTGTGTGTGTGTCTCTCTGTATATATATGTATGTATGTATATATGCAAATCCATGTACTTGTGCTATGGACAACTGGGAAGTCTCTATAAAGAACTCAAAATTTATTTCTGGATTCAAAAACCAAAAGGAAATGCCATCCTGTTTAATTAGAAAGAACTGAGTCCAGGTGTTTACTTCAGAACACTGCCACTACCCCACACAAAGAACAGCCATTTCTTGGTTTATACAATCATGAGGTTGTATAAGCCAAATTCCTAAAACACTATTCTAGCAATAGCAAATGCTGTACAAACAAGCATAATAACACAGGTTGAGATACTGAAGTCCTACGCCCAATTCTAAAAGGACGGTCACTAAAGAACAACAGACAAAATAAAAACTTTAATTTCTATTTAGGCTACTCTTGGAGACAAAAAAAGGTAAAGGTTCACAAAAATTAATGACATTTTCATCTCAATAGGTGATAAAAGCAATATGAACCAAAATCATCCCAGCTAGAAGCATGTCAAAATATTATTGTTTTAAATAAGTAGGAGTCTCAGACAAAAGACAGTATAACTCAAACCCAAGTTACATTTTCATACTGATCCCAACACAATCACTCAGACATACTAGCTGGAAAGGCCAAAGGTTGAATCCCACCTTAGCCAGTGACTAGCTTCGGGACACTGTGCAAATCACCGAACTTCTGATTTCCAGTAAAATAAGAATCAGAGCACCACCTCACTGAGTGTTGAGTCTCAAATGAGATATAGAAAGACTTCTGAAGTTTTCAATGGGCTAATGTGTCAGATATTATGATTAACTTTCAACAAATTACCCACAACTCCATTTTAATTTCAAAAACATTATGCTAACAAGCCATCATAGGCAACATTTTTCTAAATCTTCACTGTGTTCCAAGTTGGTAACTTACCACCGAATATTTGGATTCTGAGAAATTATATCTCTTTCCAAAGCTTCTACTAAGTCTTTATCGTATCCCGTGCCATCAAATTTATTTGTCTCTGGTTCAGTAATTGCAGCAGGTGATTTGTTCTACATACACACATACACACACACACACACACACACAGAGAAAAGAAAAATAAGTGAGTCAGATACACAATCCACGTGTTAAACATAACGCTGTTATTTAAAATGCTAATATGCTACTAAGATTAGTAAAACTGTCCTCCCATCATATTCAGTGTCTCTTGAGCTTTACACTCAGTTTTGATTTTCACATGAAAAAAATATGACACATAGGCCCTGGAGTCAGGAGGACCTGCTTGGTTCAAATCCAGCTTCAGACACTTGACACTTACTAACTGTGTGACCCTGGGCAAGTCACTTAATCCCAATTGCCTCAGCCAAAAAAAAAAAAAAAAAAAAAGAAAGAAAGAAAGAAAGAAAAAGAAAAAAGAGAAAAAGAGAAAAGAGACATTAAAGAGAAGTAAAAAAAAGTTTAAAAAGTTAGAAAATAGGATTGTACGTAAACAAAAAGTGTGAGTATGCGTTATGACAAATTCAAACATTTAATGTTGTGATTAGGTAGATTAATCACAAAACAATGGCTGAAAGGCTAATGTCCTATGTTTATTAAGGCAAGTCAGTTGTTAGATGCTGAGAAATACACATTTGGAGAGAAGATTAGAAAGAGGTTTTATTCTTCTATGGTTGCAATTTAATCTTCAGTACCTACTTTGCCCTTATCAGTGTTATAAATAAATCTGTTTTGGATTCCCTCAACCCCAGTTCTCTACCACCACTTCCTAACATTATGTCAATCTGTAACCAGCCACTCATTTTGTGGCTATTTCCTTTTGCCCTCTACACTGGAGTTAAATTCATCTGCCTCGCTTTCTAAATCCTTCAAAATCTTGCCCAACTATGATTTCTCACAGGCATCTTCCAATTCAATCAGGCAGGTTCTCCCTTACTATTCTTGCACAGGGCTATGCTCATTCCTACTACTGCACCTTTACTCATGCTACTGTGTCTCATTTGATAGAAGTGATCTCAATCAGGGATCTCAATCAATGCTAACTTCCAGTCCCTCTCCAAAGTAAAAGGCAATATGGTACGATTCTTTAGAAGGGGAATCAAGAAAGACAAGTTTTAAAAAGATTATTAGGCTAGCTATAGTTTGTAAGACTGATGAGAAAGAGAAGATGGAAGAAGTGAGACTACTTAAATTCCCACCCTATTGGGTACTGTCTAGGAAAACATTTTCTTTAAGGTAGCGATGAAACTGTACAGTCATACATACCCCTGACATTCTAGAATTCACTGATTTTATGATGTCTGTTATAAACAATCACATTAAAAATAAAGTTTTAAATCCCACAGCATTTTCATTATTTAGCCTTTCCAAATATAAACTTTCCATAACCGTGAATAATCTTGGCTTTTTAAATGTAGGGACTGAGGCAGAGGTCTTACATTGGCACCTTCTACTCCTTTAAGATTTAAAACACAGGGAGCTCTAATTTCTAATTAGTAGCTTAAATCTTTCTTCTGTGAGCAATCAATATCTAACATTCTCTCTTTCTCATCTTAGTGTTTGTGAAATTTAAGCTTAAAATAGATTGCTACTTTACTGCTAAAAAGAGTTTTCTATTCATTTTAAAATAAAACAAAAGCATATTCTTAATTTTCTTATAGCATTGGAAATTCTATAAAGGCAGGGTGGCAGCCAGTGGATAAGGCCAGGACTGCAATCAGGAGGATCAAAGTTCAAATCCGGTCTAAGACACTTCCTAGCTACATGACCTGTCTGCCTCAGTTTCCTTAACTTACAATAATAACAGCACCTGCCTCCTCGGGTAGGTTCGAGGATAAAATGAGATAATTGCAAAGCCCTTAGAACAGCTCCTGGCACACATGAGACACTTAATAAATGCTTGTTCCTTTCCTTCTTCTACAGCTTCCCAACGGCAATCTGGTGCAGCAGTGATATGAGCAATCGACAATGTCATACCACCTCTTCTCCCACTATAATTTCTCCTCAATCTGTCTTATTTATAGCCGGTACTAGAAGAAACATTTTCAATGCAAAAAAGAATTTCTACCCTGTACCTCACACATGTGTATCTTTTTTCCAACTAGATAATAAACTACAAGGCAGAAATCATTTCTCATACTTTTCTGTAACCCACATCTCTAAGTAGCTTTTTACATATCGTAAAAAAAAAAAATCTATGAATGAAAAACAAATTGTCAGATACTTATCTGCAGCAAAATTTTCCCTCTGTTATCTTCTTTTTAAAAATGAATTGCATACAATGTATTTTCTATTAGTCACTTTTAATGTCAAACAACTGGCTTAAAATTTGAAAAGCAAGATGATCTCATGGATAAAATCTGGAATTGGCTACTAACACTGACAGTAATGGCTAAGGTCAGAAATACTAGTTGATGGGAAGAATGGAGGTAAGAATGACATTCCTAAAAAAGGTCAATGAAATAGGCAGGTAATAACCCTAAATCAAGGAAGGCTAGGAAAAATCCATTACTAACTCTGAATAAGTAGATAAAAAAACCTAGATACCTTTGCTTAATGGGTAGAAGGAACCAAAACATCTATTTTCAATACCTCACACTCCAAAATTATGTCTCTTTGAAAGAAAAATTGTAGGTTTACACTGAAAAATAAATATCAATTATTTGAGGGAATACCACATAGCCCATATCCAGATCAATATGCTACTTGTTATTTGTGTGATCTAGGGGAAAAAAATCCTCTTTGCTCTTTCCCTTTGGTACCCAAATAACTTGTTCAAAATGCCTTATTATTTCAGCTGAACTGTCAATCCTCTCCCACGGTTTACATCTTATTATTGCTACTTATTTATTAGTAGAGAGCTTCCCCCCTCCCTATTCACAAGATGAAGAAAGTTAACAGGTTAGAATACTAAATGCCCTTATCTATAAACAAGACTACATTTTCAATTCAGAAGTGGGCTTCTGTGGAAAAAAAAAAAGCTCTTTTCTGACTACTGGAGAGGAATTTGTGTCTATACTGAAATGAATAATACTTTAACTTTGTAAAGGGCTTTTGGGTTAAAAATTCTACTTAGTACCCACACGTTAAACATACACCTTACTAAAAAAGTTAAATAATAAGGGGTTATATTAAACAAACAAAAAAAAAGTGGGGTTAGGGTAGGGTGCTAATCCCCTTCTTATTTAGAGCTGTTTCATCAATGTATCCAAATGTAAGTTCTATTTTTACCCTATTCCTCCAAGCTCACATTCCCATATTAGCAATTACATAAATTAAGATTTTTTAAAATGCTGTGGGATCTACTAAATGGAAACTAAAATTAAAAAAAAAAAGACATCCCATGAGATTTGAAAAAACATAAGCAACTTCAGCAATAACTTTTCATCTCATCTCCTAGGACTTCAGTTGCTTCATAAAGCCTCTATTACCTGAAATATGTGGAAAACACAACATTCTACTATGGTTTTCAAAAAGTCATCTTCCTTATATTTATTAGCACTTTTTTTTGCCTGCCAATCTTTGACAATTAACTGACTTATATTCAAAGTGTCAATTCTCATTGTCCGTGTATGAGTGTGGGTGTGTATACATGAATACATACACAGATATGTAAATATAGTGGATACAGAATATAAAGTATTGGGAATCAGCACAATAAGGAAAAAGAAGCACCAGACTAAGAAACATAAATGGAGTTCTATTTAGGCTCTACCCTGTGTGACATGGGTAATTTCATAACTTTGGGCAAGATACTTAACCTCTTCGGGCCTTGGATTCCTTGGCTATAAAGATGTGGGATTAGACTAGAAAATTATCGAGGTCTCTTACAACTGTTGTTGTTATATGTGGTTCTAAAACAGGCCTACACAACCTGGGGCCCACCAAAGGATTTTGGAGGAAGACATCCTCTACGTTTTTCACCAGCCACCTGAAATTCTTTGGCGTATTGCAAGCAACACGCTGGCTGTAAGGGGTTCAAGGGCCGCAGGTTGTACATGCCTGTTCTAGAAGTTGGATGAGAATGTGTGGTTTTTTAAAAAAAGATGCCTATCTGTGATACTGTTTGCCTTCATTTGTTTCTCCTAGATACCATAGGAACTAAGTATTTGTTAAATGGAGCATAGGAAAATTAATAATTTGGGGTTATGGTTAGTAGGGCTCAGGTTATTTGAAGTTTTTGCACTGTAGCCTATTTTGAAAAATCAAGTTTGGGGAATACAACTAGCCAAAATCTCAAACGTTTACTTTCATCTTTTTAAGTAATTTTTTACCTTTTCTTCTCTTCCTTTATTCTGTTGCTCTTTCTTTTCTCGACAACGGACTGCTTTTCCTTTGTCATTATTAGAATTTTGTGAAGATGGACGTTGAGGAATTTTGACTGCTGCACTTGGACGGTTACCATGGACTCTAGAGTCACTATACTGAGGAGACTGACGTTTTCTGGGTCCTGGTGATGGTCTGATTAGTGAAAACAGATCATACTATAAAAACAGGTGAGCCTGATGGCAGAGGACTAGTTATTTTGACTGACTGAAAAAAGAGAGCAAGATAAAGAAAAAGGGTATGGCACAAGGTAACAAGAGACAAATAGAGGGTCTTGATATTTGAATCTAAGGTGTGAATTTTGTGCAAAGGTTAATTGAAAATAAGAAGAAAAGTAGTACTGAAAGCAGTAACCATGGAAAAGGATCTTTGTGAAATTATCATCAATATCAACAAGTATTTATTCATCCATTATTGTGTTCTTAGTATTGTGCCAGGAACAGAGAAGAATGTAAAAATAATTCAAAGTCCTTGTTTACAATTTAACTTAAATGAATTTTTAATTTAGTTGGTACACAAGAAAGATATATAAAACTGGATGACAGTATTATATATAATCGAGTGCTAGGAACTATGATACACAGATGAAGTACAACATCAATTCAGAGTATCAAGATCCTTGTGGGCATGGATAGTTAGAAGTAGTTTTACAAAAGATTTGAACTAAGCTAAAAGGAAGTGTAAGAGTTAGACTGCTAGAAAGAAGGAGTAAAGGCAAAACAACCAAAAGGGAAAACCATTAATACTAATGGTGATCATAATGAAGAGAATTGACATTTGCAAAGCTTTATATAAAACACATGTATATCTCACAACAACCCAGCAAGGACCTACAAGTATTTTTAATCCCCATTACACAGATTAAGAAAGTGAAGTCAAGAGAAGTTAAATCACATGTCTCTGCTCAAAGAGCTAATAGGTATCAGATCCAGTCTTCAAATCCAGGTCTCCTGGCTCTGACTCCTGCAGGAGTGAGAACAAAGAAACTTCCTGACTGGAATAAAGGATTCATATTGGACAGCATTAGGAAGAAAATGTAATGTTAGATAAGTAAGGTAGGGCCAAGTGATGGAAGACTTTTTAAATTATTGGCAGGAAATTTTGGCAGCAAATTCCACCATAGATCTTCATCATGGAACTATGATGAAAGTGAAGATTAATCTAGTGGTAATACACACGTGATCTATTAGGGAGAGAGAGAATAAAGGCAGGGAGATCAGTTAAATGACTATTACACCAATTTAGGCATAAATTTAATAGGGAACTAACCTAAGATAGTAGCAACAAGATGGAAGTCAATAAATAGTCAACAAATTTTAATTTCTAATTAAATAATAAATAATAATAATAAAATAAATTTATTAAACACCTACTATGTACCAGACACTGTGCTAAGCCCTAGAGATACAAATATAAAAAAGAAATACAGTCCCTGCCTTCAAGAAGTTTATGATCTAATGGTGGAAGACACAAAAGAAAGGGAGCAGTGAGGGCAGTGATGATGGAAATGCCAAAGAAGAAAAACACAAAAAGGCAGCTCAACTAGATTGCAATCAACAATCCTGGCTCTGGAACAGGGAATATAATGTATATTCTTCATCTCAATAGAACAGTGGAGACTATGGTATGGAATGCCAGAATAGGTGAATTTGTCAGTCAATTATGCTTAACTGTTTTTCTTCATAATACTTGGAGGACAGAAACGACATCAGGAAATGACTGACAGTAAAAAAAAAAAAAAGCATCAATTAAAAAAGCAAAAGCAATTAATTTGAAAGGTAATCAATTCAAACAACCTTGTGAAGGGAGACACTCATTTATGATTGGATATGAGAGACTAAAAAATGACCAAACCAAGACAAAATAACCTAACTTGTCAGACAAAAAAATTAGTGAAAGAGAAAGGATAAAGAACCATTTTAAAAAATGTGAGATGGAGGTGATAAAAAGACATCAAAACAAAAATGTTCTTTGGGCAATTGGAATTTAAGTGATAACAAGGCTGAAGTGAGTTGTTTCTGAAATATGAGAATTTAAAGCTCTCTGAAAAAAAGTATAAAGTAAGAAGAGCCAGAAGACTGGGGATTGGACCTTAAGGGAAACTAGGTTAAAGGGCAGGAAGAAGAAATATATGAATGAAGATGGAAGGAAGCAACAAATGACTACAATGAAGTAGGTTTTTCAGTAATAGTTTAGGGAATTAAAAACAGGTTCCAGGAGAAGTACTAAAAATACTGAGAAGTTCACAGTCATATTGTGTTTAAAGGCTTGTAAAGCACTTTACAAAATTTCATTTAACTTTAGAGAGATTGTTAATGAAACATTAACAAATGACTGGCTATGAAGAAGACACTGACGAATAATTGAAAAGAGAAGAACAAATACAGTAAGTAATATTAGGTTATCGGCAATATTCAGGGATGAACATTACTGAATTTTAAATCAGAGAGGATCTAATAATACATACTTAGTGAGGAATTACTTTCACAAGATTACTAGAAGACGGATTTTTTTCCAGATTTAACACTAGTAAAGGGGAGTTACTCTCCAGGATCAGGTTATTTGGACAATGGACAACACTATTTTATTAGAAGATTCTTATCAATCAACAAGAATTTATTGTAAATGCTTACTGTATGCCAAGCACTAAGTGCTAGGGATACAAAGAAAGGCAAAAACAGTTCCTGCCCAAAAAGAACATGCTTTCTAACAGGGAAACATGTAAAAACAAGGTACATATGGATTACCAAGGAAGGGGCAATAGCATCAAAGATTTCTTAGAAAAGAAAAAGAGGAAAAAGGAACTTATAGGTATAAATCTTAAAGAAACAAGATAAAATGGAATTAAGATGGCTGGTGAAAAAATTTAGGAGTTTAGACTCAGGAAATAAGAGGGGTGAAATGGGAAAATTGAGAGCAATGAAGGGATTTATCTCTGTTCAATAAAACAACAAGCATTTGTTAAGCACCCACAAGACACTTTCTCTTCTGTGATAGTCTGTTGGACTAAGACTTCTCTTTTAAGGGCGTGACACAGGAACTATAAAAGAATGCAGATGGGGCAAAACTTTTATAAAGAGTCAAAAGTTATCAAGAATGTAATAAAGAAGGCTAAGGAAGCAACATTACTAGTATTGTACAAATTGTGATTAGAGAATTATTTTAAAGTAGGTAAAAATCACAAAACCCTTATTCCTGATATTTTTTTCAGGAATCAAGAGACATTTTAGGCACCATGTTAAACTTTGGGTTCATTTATTTCTAACACATCACCTAAAAGATACCTACTTACCTTCGTTCAACAGGTACTGGCAAGGACCAAACTTCTCCCTCTGAAGCTGGAAGTTCATGATGAGCAGCTTTCAAAGGAGTGCTATCTAATTTAAAGCTTTCTAGCGTTTTCATGATATCCTTAACATGTTTAGCTTCCACACTTATCTCTTGCCAAACCTGATTAGAAAGGAAAAACATGACCTTTAAATTCAAATGACTTACAAAATCAGCATCATGTTACATGATACATGTTACAAATCTGCATTTAGACAATAAAAATTTTAACTAGATAATCCAAGACTGTTTAATAATGCTTTAAAGGCTTTATTCATGTTATACTCCCAACTCTAACACCAACTGCAACAAGTTAAGTCAGAAGAACTATTTCACACTTTTTTCTTAAATTATAGACTTCTGATTCTAAGTCAAGAATCTAATAAAAATATAGCTACTTAACAAAGCAAAAATAAGTCAAATAAATACTTTAAAAAAAAAAAAAACAACCCTTAGATACTGATCTCAACCTCTTCTTCCACCCAGAGGAAAGTAATAAAACTGACTAAATTTAACTTTATATTTTCTCAATGTTATCTTCCTGACTTCCAATGTAACTTCTGATTAATAGTCCAATATAGGCCCTAAGGAGGAATGTGGAAAAAAAGAAGTGGTTCTGCTAAATCTACAACCTGCACAACTAAAAGTTGAATGAATATAAGACTACACATCAAAATAAAAAATTGACTAAATGAAGGTTTCACAATTTATTCTTCATGACCAAACATGACCAAAAAAAAAAATCCTTTTCCTATATATAAATAAAAGAGAAGCTTCATTCAGTGACAGGTGACTACATAAAATACTAGAAATGCGTTCAAAACTTCCTTACTATTGTTAAAGTTGAGTTAATATGTGAACATTACTTATGAACTAAATAGAAAAAAATAAAAAACATCTTTAACAAAATACAGAAGCCACCGATTCACAAACAGGAAGAGAAAAAGGTCTGAAATGTCTTTCAATGATTCCAGGAAAAGGACCAACAGTCAATACCAAAGAAATAGCTCATTGGACCTATGGCTATCCTAGTAAGTTACTTAAAGCACCTTTGTAATTTCTTTGCTATAACACTATATAATTGAGCCTTGCTATGACATCATCCTGGATACTTGTCACTCTACCGGAACATCTAACAGGTGATCAAGTAGCCTCAAAAGGCCCGCCTAATGCCCTAATCCTGTATCAAATTTGGTTCTAAAGGGTCAGCTAGGTGGTGCAGTGGATAGAGCACCCGCCCTGGCTTCAGGAGGACCTGAGTTCAAATCCGGCCTCAGACTAATAATACTTCCAAGCTGTGTGAGTGGGCAAGTTACTTAATCCCAATTGTCTCACTAAAAAAAAAAAAAATGCCTCTAAAGAAAATGTTAAACTTGTTGCCAGTATATTTTGTGAAACAGTATTATCTTATAATTAAGTTATCAGAATGAGAGAGTAAACTTCCCTTTATCAAACTGTAGCGGGATAGACTAAGTGGGATATAATGGGGCTTTTACCATAGAAAGTAGTTCTATTTAAACGCCAAAACTCATATAATAAGATTCCATGTTCTAAAAAGGCTGTACTGCATTTATATATAACTTTGAGTCTTTCAAATCCTTCTTAAAAGTTATCTGAGCAATTAAACCATTACGGCAAATGTAAATATCAACCAACCAAGAAGGATTTATCAAATACCCATTAAGTTCCAGGTACTTTACTAGGCATGGATATACAAAGAAAAAAATTAAACAATCTCTGCCTTTGAGAACTTTGCACTCTATAATGAGAAAACATGTACATATAAACATAAACAAAATGAAGAGATGATGGGGGGGGTACTGAGTAGTGTGGTAGGGAGGAAATTGGGAAAAATGTCATGTAAAAAGTGATGCCTGAGTTGAATTTTGAAGGAAACTAGAGATTCTAAAGGAAGATGTAATGAAGAAGTATATTTCTGAACAGACTGGGGCTGGGGGAAGAGGGAGGGGAGTGTAGGCAGAAGGAAAGCTGTGTATGAGGAATAGCAAGGCAACCAGTTTGGCCAGACTTTAGAATGAACGAAGGAGAGTAATGTGCAGTAAGACTAGAAAGGTAGTTTGGAGTCAGATTGTGAAGGCCTTTAAATGCCAAACAGAAGAGTTTGTATCTGTAGAGGCAACAATGAATTCCTGTGGCTTACTGAGGAGTGGAGTGATATGGTCAGATCTGTGCCTTAGAAAAAACACTTTTGATTGCACATGTAGGATGAGAGGGGAGAAATTTGAGATATGATTCTCACCTGTTGCCATTTTTGCTGAAGGTATGTATCTTTGACTGAGTACAGATATTTGTTCATTTGATCAAGCACTCCCTGATAATAGACCATCGCAGAGTCATAGTTTCCCAGCAAAGCATATTCACGAGCCAATTTTACATTTTCACTAATCATAAGAAGACTCATGCTCAAATGCAAGCTGAAAATAAAAAAAAAATTATGTTTCATGTTGCATATTTATTAACAGTAGGCATCCAAACAGGGCATAATAATCACAGAGTCAAAAAGGAACATCATCCAAGGCCCCAAGTTCCAGAAGAGCCCAGCTCAGATTATATCATTACCATATGGGTGGGAAAAACTGTGGATGAATTATAAGTTTTTGAAAAGACATTATTCAAAGTTACAGTAGGATTTATGAACACAGAACTAATCAGAAGCTACTGTAATAGTTTAGATTAGATAAATCCAAGGTTGTGATCCTATGTAACTGGAAGGATGATAGTGCCTTTGATGGAAACAAGGAAGTTAGAAAAGGGAATGTTTTAAGGGAGAAAAAAGGGGATCCCAGCTGACTTTTCCTAGGTTATAATAATATTAACACTCAAAGAAAAATGTACAGTATGTCTATTCAGGGGGATAGTAGACATGAGAAACACTAACTTATAAATACATGGTGAGAAGACCCAATGCTATAAATTTGTATTTGACACAGAAAAATAGGGCTTGGGTACAAATCCCTTTGACAATCTAAAGTAGAACTATTATACTGGATGGGCAATGTGGCCCTTGACCCAATATGACAACTCAATTTCTTACCCATTTATTATATCAAATTTATATTTAGGAGTTTTAAAGTAGGTAAAATCGGTCTTTAATAAATCTATATTGTGACAGACATTTAAATTTGAAAACAGAAGTCAATTCAAATTTTGTCCTTCAGTAACTTATAATTTTACTATTATGAAAGACTTCATCTATGAAAAAGTTTATTAAACAAATCAGAAGTGGCAGTTTTATTCTTTCAAAGATCCTACCATAGATTTCCTAGTTAAATATTTAACTTTTTTACAATTAAAAATTAATATTTCCTCTTTTCATTTAGTAAATTGCTTCTACTTTATTATAAGGTATAGAATGCATAGAATAGAATAAAGAACAGCAAAAATGTCACACAATGGTACATTTGGGGACCTTTGAAATGGTGTAAATATTTATTTTTTGGGAGAATCAGACATATGCTATAAGCTATACTAAGAGAATATACTGACTGAACTTTAGAATAATTTTATTTTACCTTTATAACTTTGGTAAATATTAATGTAATCAGATTTTATCTTTATAATGATAAAGAGGAAAACAATGTGGAAATCTGTTTTGCTTCATTATGCATATTCATTACATGAATTTTGTTTTCCTTTGCTTTTCCAACTGAAGGAAGGAGGTACAAGGAAGGAGAATGAAGACAGGGTTCTTAAAAAAGAAGGTCAGAAGGAATCACAGACAAACTGGACAGATTTTTAAATTACACGTTGAATTTATTATATACAGTTATCCCTTCCATACTGCAACTTTCCCCACTGCAGTTTCAATATAATGGAGGTCAGCATAAAAAATTAAATGGGAATTTTGGGGGAGTTTTGTGGAAGCCACAGACAACATGTGAAAGCCAACAGATGACACAGAGCCTATGACCAAATACTTAACCCAATTTTTACAATAATACTGTAAACACCCCATAAAAGAAAAATGAAAAAAATTCAGACATCTTCTCTGGTATGAAGGGAGGGTCAAAAAATTTTACACGGAGTTTCCAGATCATGGAGGTGCTACACCCCTAACCCCTCAATGTGGAAGGGATAACTATACCTTAAAAGGGTTTCACAAACAATCCTCTCCTGTTTTACAATATATAGTAGGGCTCATTTTTGGTTTAAGTTCAAATTATAAACAAAGTAAAATTTTCTGAAATTCAATAAAGTAGAAAAGCAGTCTTAAAGTTAGGAATACTCCAAATCCTGCCTCCAATACACACCAGTTATATAACTATAGGCAAGTCAGTTATTCTCCTAGTTCCCCCATGAAACTTTATAAAGCTCTAAGTTATATATGAGTTGCTGATCTGTATCAGCAAAGCTTCCTCAACAAGAATTCTTCTTATAGATGAAATCCCAATTTCAGAAGCCTCCTCATGACTTAATAAATCATCAAACTCTTATTAAGTCCCTAATACATGAAAGGCACTGTGTGCATGGGGAATACAAATATGATACATGAAACAATCCCTACTCCCAAGAATCTTATATTCTGATGGGGAAGACAACAAGTACCTATATAAGTATATTCTGAACAAATATAAATAGAATAAACATAGTAAATATGAGGTAATTAAATTAAGCAAGTACAAGGCAACTAGGTGGGAGGAAGAGAGAAGAAAGGGAATAACCATTTATATGGCACCTACTACATGCTAGGCACAGTGCTTAGTGCTTCACAAATACTATCTCATTTGATCCTCACAACTCTGTGAAGTAAGTACTATTATGCCCATTTTACAGTTGAGGAAACTGTGGAAGACAAAGGTTAAGTGATTTGCCCAGGTCTTGTTAAACTGACAAATGACTGGATATGTGTATTGAGGAAGAGTAAGGATCCTACAAAAAAGAAAAGGCTATAAACTTGAGAGACTGAAAAGGATATTGGTATCTTCAAAAAACATATGGAAGTTTAAAAGAGGAAAGAGTTTAGGAGGAAAGTTAATGAGTGTAATTTTAGACATGCTGAGTTCAAGATGTCTCCAGGATATCCAGTCTGAAATAGCCAAAAAGGAATTAGTGCTCTGGGACTAAAGTTAAGGTAGAGACTGGGGCTGAATACACAGGAGTCTTCTGTATAGAACTAATAGCTAAGCCCAAGGGAACTAATAAGGTTACCAAGAAATGATTGAAGAATGAGAGGAGGCAGGGACAGAACTTTAGTACACACCCATAGTTAAAAGGTATGATATGGATGATGAGCCAGCAAAAGAGATGGAGTAGTCAGATAGCAGAACCAGGAGAGAACAGTCACAAATAACCAGAGAAGAAAGAATATACAGGAAGAAAGAGTGTTCATAGTGTAAATGTCAAGAAGGATGTAAAATACCGGCTTTGGAGTCAGGAGGACCTGAGTTCAAATATAACCTCAGACACTTGATACTTACCAGCTGTGTGACCCTGGGTGAGTCACTTAATCCCGATTGCCTTGCCCACCCCCCAAAAAAGGATGTAAAATAGGTCAAGAAGGATAAGGACTTGGAAAAGACAGTCAAATTAAATCAGCAATTAAAATAATCACCAACAACACTGGGGCGCAGTTTCAGCCTAGTGATGGCGTTGGAAGCCAGTTTGCAAAGAGTTGGATGAATGGCATGTTTCACCGTGAGTCCTCTGAAATCATGGTTGGTCATTATGCTGATCAGAGTACCTAAGTCTTTCAAAGATATCTGTCTTTACAACACTGTTGTCACCACATAAATTGTTCTGGTTTTGCTCACTTCACATTACTTCAATTTACGTAAGTCTTTCCAGGTTTCTCTGAAACTTCCCTCCAAACTCTTCCCTCTTAAACTTCCATATTTTTTTGAAGGCATCAATATCCTTTCAGTCTCTTGGCTTTGTAGCTTTATCTTTATCCTAGACTTCTCACTCTCCTTCATTCTGTGCATTTCTTACAGTATAACAGCATTCCAAAACATTTCTATATCACAACGTGTTCAGCCATTCCCTCAATTGACGAGCATCCCGTTTTCAACTCTTTGCCACTGCAGAACTATAAATATTTTTGTAAATCTTAGTTTGTTGTACTTAGGATGAACTTCCCACCCTTTATTTCTCCTTTTTCCTTCTCTCCCCCTTCTCTTTTGCTTCTCTGATGAACGAAATGTATTTCTGAACTCCTCTGTGTATGTATTCTTCCCTCCTTTGACCAGTTTCGATACAAGGTTCAAATGTGAGCTGCTCCCTCCACCCCTCCCTCCTTATTTGTACAGACTTTTATTTGCCCATTCTTAGTAGGCAGGATAATTTTTCCTAATCTTCCACTTTTCCCCTCTCCTTCAAGTGTTCCTTATCTTCTTCCTTGCCACTCTTTTAAGATCAAGATATAACAGAACCACATCCAGTCCTAATTAGACTCCCTCTATGACACTTAATGATAGGGTTCAGAGGGGACACTGTCTATCTCATCTCTCCACATTCGAATGTAAACAGTTTATCCTTGTTTAGTCCCTTACCATTATTTGTTCATAGTTACCTTTTCGTGTTTCTCTTGACTCTTGTGTTTATGCTTCAAAGTCTCTACTTAGCTCTGATCTTTTCATCAGGAATGCTTGGAAGTACTCTATTTCATTAAAAATTCACTTTTCCCCATATGGCATTACACTCAGTCTTACTGAGTAAGTTATTCTTAGTTGTAATCCTATATCATTAGGCTTTGGGAATATCACATTCCAAGGTCTCCATTCCTTTATAGTGGTGGCTGTTAAATCATAAATGATTCTAACTATGGTTCCTCGGTATTTGAATTCTCTTTTTCTGGCTATTTGCAATATTTTTTCTTTGATCTGAAAGCTTTGGATTTTGACTATGATTTTCCTATGAGTTTTTTTTCATTTTGAGGTTTCTTGCAGCAGGTGATCTCCTTCTAGGAGATCTATACTGCTCTCTGGTTCTAAGAGATTTTGGCAGTTTTCTTTTACGATTTCTTTAAAGATGACGTCTAAGCTCTTTTTTTGGTCATGGCTTTTAAATAGTCCAGTGATTCTTAAATTATCTCACTTCGATTGTTTTCCAGATCAGATGTTTTTGCTATGAGATAACATATTTTCTTCCATTTTTTTTTCAGTCTTTTGGCTTTGGTTTTTTTGTTGTCTCATAGAATCTTTAGCTTTTATTTGGTTCATTCTCATTTTCAAGGAATTTGTTGTTAGGGTAAAGCTTTTTTTTTTTTATGAGGCAATCGGGTTTAAGTGACTTGCTCAGGGTCATACAACTAGTAAGTGTGAAGTGTCTGAGGTCACATTTGAACTGAGGTTCTCCTGACTCCAAAGCCGGAGCTCTATCCACTGTGCCACCTAGCTACCCCTACTGTAAAGCTTTACAACTCTTCTGTCAAGTTATTAATTCTTTCTTCCATAGTTCTAATTTCTTTTCTAATTTT